GAAAGCCATGGTACATGTAGACTTAATGCAGTCTTGCTTCATTGTGAACCGTTATTGCAGTTCGGATTAATGTAATGTCCTGAAATAAAGTGTGTACATAAAAAATGTACATGTACATTGTGTAATTGATGTACAAATCCACACAAGTCTATCCACAATTTCTTGATGCATTAAGGTAAATGTAAATGCATCGCTCATGCACTGGTATTTGATGTACTTGTATACAGAAGCATGGCATTCAAATCACTGTATTTTCCTCAATATACAGTACGTGTACCGGGTACACGTACATGTACACTGTACAGCAAAGCTTCTGCTTTAGAAACCTTGGCTGGCTTGAGCTGGAACAATATGTTACCATTTAAGTATGTCGGAGTGTGTTTCTAATGGCACCAGATTACCCTACATCTTACACTGGGAATTTTGATCTGTGAAACAGCAGTGGCTGATGCCATGGTCCAGTTCATTGCACAGCTTTGGACTGCTGGATCAAAGTACAGGAGTTTGGTCTGGGTTCAGAGCTCCAGATGAATTTGAAGCTGCCTGGAATGATTTATGATCCACCAGAAAAAGCTCTTCTGTCTGTATGATATATGGCACTTGTTAGTTTGATGTGGAGTCGTTATTTTGGGGCGCTGCCTGCCTGTGTTGCTAGACATGACCATAATTGGAGTTAGTCTTTGTTGGTTATGAGCTAGTAATGTCAGGTGAGCTTTCATGATGTCATAAACATTTCTAGTGGCATCATTTTGTTTTGGCCATTAATAGGATTCTTTTCTTCTTTGGGCATTCTTTAACATCACTCATATTATACATGTGGCATGATTGCAGTTTTTCATTGTGCAAAATACCAGGGTCCTTGAAAATGCCAACAGCTTTAAACTTTAAAGCTGCATGTGTGGAATTTAGGTGAGCTGGAATTAGTACATGGGGGAGGGAGGGGACTTTGTTAAGAGGGCAGCATTGTACATTTACATGTTGGAGTGTGCAGTGATAGAGTGTATACATGTACCTGTATTGTACATGTACACATGTACATGAACATGTAGCCTACATGTGTACATGTATATGTGTACGTGTATGTACAAACCTTGTGAATTTGTACATTGTAAACATATGTGATTCTTTTCTCAAGACAGTATTTCATTCAAGCTTAGGACTCGGTTTCATCTGCATAAAATGTGTCACATCCTTGTAAAATTACCCAATATTATGCGTGCATGCGCATGAGCATCTTACAAGATGTAATTTGTAATACAGCATTTGAAATACTGGTAAAATGTGACTGTGGCGATGATTGTTTGACAAACTCGGACATTGTTTGTAAATGTACCAGGTACATGTAATACCGCTGTTTGGAAAGCTTCTATAGTCGTGTGGGTGGCATACCCCTGGCACATTATTTTATAACAATTGATGAACATTTCCATAGGGCATGGAAAATTGTTTACATTGTTTGTAAGATACATGTACGAGTATGTATAATAAATTAAGTAGCGTACAAATGAAACTTCATCACACTAGCTTTCTACATGGACCGGTAGGCTATACCGGTACATAATTTGCAAGAGATCAAGTTCCATTTGTGCTACTGTACCCGGTACATGTACAGGGTGTGTACATGTACATGTACCGGTAAGTGCAAAAGACAATGTCTCTGTGGTATTACTGTGTGTGTGTGATTTGAATATATCATTATACATGTACATACATGTATGTACCCGGTATGTATACCGGTACCAGAACACAGTTTTGTGGAGCCTACATGTACACTGTATGTGTGCAGCGTTTAAATGCCAGTAAAAATGTGTATATGTTACATGTACATGTAGGGCCTGTACACATGCTGTACAGTGCATAGGTCCTATACTGGTATGTACATAAATATGTTTGTACATGTACTTAGAGAACAGACTACCAGCAGAGTTCTCATGCATAGTACATGTACGTGTCTGTTGGATATTTAAAAAAATTGTAGAATGTAGGCCTACCACCTGTAATTTGGACCTCCTGTATCAATACCCAGGTCACAAAAGGTCAGCTGAACAGAAACAGGGTCCAACCCTGTCACAGGTGTTTGATCTTGAGGCTGGACTTGTGGAGTAAGAGATGCCTAAAATGGTAACAGGGATACAAAAATGTACATGTACTGGGTGTCGAATAAAGGAGCACCCAAAACAAATAAACAGGCAGCAGACATGAATACTTGGGTGGCTAAGCTCCATTCATTACTTTGACTGCCGTACATGTAGTTTTGCTCTATGTACATGTACACACCAGGCAGTAACTGTAAAAGCCATGATTCTGCCAGAATATCACAGAGATTGAAATGGAGTCAAATCTCGATGGCATGAGCCACCAAGCTGTTAACTTCTCCATTGACATCTGAAATACCGTATTATCCTTGTGTTAAAGGTCTAAATCCTCCAATTTAAATAATACTCCACTCTTTATTGTTTGCATGTACATTGTACATGTACCGGTACATGTAGTGTGAATGTCATACATTCATTTGGAGCTTTATTCATTTTAATCCTCAATGCACAAAGAACAGTGAACATGAAGTACTACTAGTACATGGTACATTTTACATTTCATTTTATGTCATTTCTTATTTCTCAAGGCATAAACAAATAGAGAACATACATGCATGAGACAACAATACACAAGTGCAATGGCAACAGCCTTGATGGATTACCAAATGCAAACTTAATCACAATCGAGTGGCTCTCCAAATGTTACCATGCTGCAAAAACGGTTAAAATACAGGATCTATAAAAATATGTACAATGCCAATTTTTACTGTGTACATGTACAATGTATAGAGGTGTGAAAATTTTGCTTTTTGGCTGATTTTAGCTTTTTAACCGGTAGTTTAGACGTTGAACCTGAATTTTAGCTTTTTTGTACATGTACACCTACTGTGTACAAGCGTATGGGGACTTCTTACATTTCAGCTTTTTGCTAGCTGTTTCAGCTTTAATTTTAAGTGGCCACTCACACCCCTGAAGGTACCGGGTAAATGCCTGTCAGACTGGTTTCTATTGTACATGTACATGTACTATCAAGACTTGGAGCTAGGGTTTTTCGCACAGTGACATTGCCCCTGCAAAGAGTCATGAACTTTGAGCAATAATCATAAACAACATTCCAGCAGAAGAGAGGTCATCTGTAAAGGAGTTAAGAGGAAGGGGTGTGGTCAGGCCCCATGGGGTCAATCACAACATTACTTTTCCTGTAATTACCCGACAAATTGTATTTATGAGGTCCCTGATTTGTAATGATGCAGTTAAGGCGATTATTAAAGACAGCTTTAGAAATCGTAAAAATGTCATGTTCCTCTTTCGGTTTTGGCCATCAGCCACAAGTTAGATGTACATGTACTGTACCTGAAAGACCTTTGGATATTTGTCCAAGTCATGCTCCAAGTAAAAATGATTCCTCACCCTACCAGGGTATGGTACATGTACCTGCTGATTGGGACCAATTTCTTATTGTGTACAAGTGATCTTTCTTTGGCCCTAAAGAATTGATGTACGGGTACTCTCACATGTACATATGTACATGTACATGTACATGAAGTTCCTTGAACAGGTTACCAGTATTGGTACTGCTTGTGGCAGGATTCTGAATACATGTACATGTACTGCCAACCATATGTGTACATTGTACATGTACATATAGCTGTATATGATCTGGCAATGTACCAATAGAGGCTACCCGTACATGTACATGTATGTACTGTACTTTGTTTTGGACAAACTGGAGGAAGGTCATTGGTTGTTTGATGCCATTAAATAATAATGACCCATCCCTGAGACTCCCTGAATGAAATAATGGTAGCCAAGCTGTGTTAAATGGATTGTCCTTGAGATGGAGCAGTGGTGGCCACATTTCAGTCATTTGTTAAAGGTTTCTTTCTGCATGTAGGCATGATTTTGGCTGGCATTCCACATTACATCATCGTCAGTGATAAGCCCACTGGTACTGTACTGTACATGTAGCTTACAATCCTTGCCATGGTATTTTGTCTGGCAACAGACCCTCTGAACATGATGGACCCCAGCTGCTTCTGTCCTGTGTCAGTGCCCATGTACTCACAGCTGTGGTCTCTTTGTATCAGCGGTGTTTGTGTTCACACTTGTTAATTTTACCAGCATTTACATGTATGTCTATCAATGTTGGTTGCTCTTTGCTGATCATAAATTGTACCTTTTTTAAGTGTGGGTAAATTGTACGGTACCGGTATATTATTAACATTTAGGAATTCGTGTTACCGGTACTTGCATTGATGTCCAGTTTTTGGTTTGTGAAAGCATACCTTAGAGCATCCTTGCTCTATGCTTAGAGCTACTGGCAGGAAGTAACATTGAACAGTCCAGCTGGGGCCATTTTCATAGAGCTGCCTAAGCACAAAATTTGCTTAAGCATGAAAACACCTTGCTTAAAAAACAAAGGTTACCAGCTCAAACTCTATCTGATTGTCATGCTAACCAAAAGACAGCTAAATACCGGTACGATCCCAAAGCAATATACATGTACATGTACATTACATGGAGTTTTGGCTGGCTACCTAATTTATCAAGTAAGGTTTTTTGCGCTTAAGCAAATTTGGTGCTTAAGCAGCTCTATGAAATTGGCCCCTTGTACAGGTACAGTAGTACCCTGTGGTCCTTGAAGCATATTGTGCACTTTCCATGGCAGCACTTTGTTTTATCTGATAAAAATCTCATCAGCATACATGTACATGTACATGTACATTGGGTAGGGTACTTGAATGGATGACATTGCTACTGGATGATGCATTAGAATTTAATTGTCGATATGTGGACTGATGGTGAAGTGAGATAAGGGAATAGATCTCTGCTCAAATGTGACCCCTGAAAAGTATGAGTTTTGTAGATGTTAGTACTTCGCAACTGTGCCTCATCTCATTTAAGCATTGCATACATGTTTGCCCACCCTGTTATAACAGTTTAACTTTTGTACAATCTGTGTAGGATAATTTGAATGTGTTTCTTGGGGCGTGTGAGGATCTGGGACTGAAGGCTGCACAGTTGTTCCATCCAGGGGATCTACAAGACTTGTCCAGCAGAGCCAGGTACATGTAAATTAACGGTCTAGGTGCATGTCTCAATAGTCTTCAGTTCAGGGGAATTGTTGGCAGGCGACTACTAATGACTACAGTATCATTTAAAAAAAACTGTAAAGGGGAGGGGATATGTCTGGTACTCTTTTCTCAGCCAGTTCTATTTTTATTCCATGATCATGTTATGATGCAACCTCTCGCTATCACATGGTTGCATTGTCTATTGTCTCTTGAAACACACCCGGTACCTACAGTGTACCAGTATGTCTTTTATGCCATACTATCAAAACTATTCAGCGTAGGACTTTATTACTGACCCATGAAATGAAATCAAACTACCGGTAGCAAGGTGCGGTACCAATACCAACTACATTGTAACATGTTGGTTTGTCCTCGAGAGCCACACTTTGCCTATATTAGTACTGTATGTACCGGTACCTGTGCCTGTGCCTTGCCTTACGGATAGATAATGAGTACACAGAGGGTAGGTTTGCTAGAAACGGTTTGATGCACGATATGTTCAGTGTCTGTCTGTACATGTCTTTGGCAAGAGCAAGCTGGCTTGAAGGGTTCATTTTCATGTATAATGCAGTACCCCAACCACCAAGGGTTTTCAGATGAGTTTTTAAGTAATAATTGCACCTTAGATAGACATACCGGTACATGTACATGTAGGCCTACTGTACTTGTGCACATTTTGTAGACCCTGATTCAGTGTACCAGTATGCTTGCATTTTAAAACTTGCACATATTTTCTGTTTTGTTTATTAATCACCAATAAATGTCTTACAGTAACTACTACCGGTACATGTACATGTTTCTCTGGAAGATTCGCCAAAAATCCGTCACACTGGGATTTCCTGTTTTGAATTTTACTTATTAAAAATGCTTTTCTGCTATTGAAATGTTAAAATGTATAGCACTTTTACAATCAGTTTATGTACGGTACTGATACATGTACATGGACTGGCATTCCTCCAGTAATGGTTTGCAGCTGCCACTATTTTAATGTTTGAGAACCTAAACCAAGTTTTTTCCAAGTTCTAAGTAATCATGCCGTTACATGTTAGTGTTCCAGGGGCAGCAAGGTGAAGTTTGTTCTGATTGTTACAAAGTACAGTACTGGTACATTCATACCTACATGTACCGGTACATGTGCATTGTCCAAAAATGTAGTTAGTAAATTTCTTGGGTGGTGCAGTGAATCTCCACTATTCCTGTGAGGTGCTGTCTGAATTGTGAACACTTTATTCAAGAACCTCCAACAGATCCCCACCCCACAAATATTACAAGAACTAGAATCCATTGGAATTTATAAGCCTACCTGTTAAATACTGTATATGTACTAGAGTTGAGACAGCAAGGTGAAGTTTGTTCTTATTGCATGTTTTTGGTACGTGTACATTGCACATTTTACAGAATTGTTGTTGTCCTCAAGTTGTATTGACAGCAGCGCTCCTTTGAGGTTTGCCTGTCCTGTGGGGGGAACTATGCAATATTTAACATGATGGTCTCTCAGTCCTGTCTCATTTGTGGTTTACCACCTCATTGACAAATTGGCTGGAGAAGTGTCCCAGGGGGGCCATTTTCTTCCCCCTTGTAAAGTGGGAAATTGTTCTAATTTTGAAGTAGGGAACTCACCCAGGAACGTGCTTGGGGTTACTCAATAAATGGCCGCCTCTGTTGTGGTTGAGAAATCTAGTCTGGGACTACAGGAAGGCTTGTCCCAAGAATGTGATCATGTTTCAAATGATAATATACAACAGGCCCTCTCTTGTTTTGGTGTATACATAAAGTTGGCAAGTCATGCGTGTCAGTATTTTTCACATGATTTATGACACAACGTGGCGGTGAAATGGACAGTGAAAGAGGCTTAGCTGTGCAGGGTTAAGGTACATAGTGTTGACATACATGTACATGCTCAGCAGTGACATTGCATGTGTACCCAATACCAGTACATGTACAGTGTACATGTACACACAATCAGGCCCTTGTGGACTACCATTGCGCCTCGTAGCCATACTGGTACATGTACATGTATGTGTGTGTAAATGTATGTAAAGATACAATGTACATGTGTAGAATTGGCCAGATGGGATGGTGTGTAAAATTTTAGTGCAGGAACAGATTTCGCATTATTTTTCAGTTTGGAATGCCCTTGTTTTTTTATGAATTCCCAGTTGTTTTGTATTTGGTGTCAAAATGTACATTTAAAAAATGTCCCACTCATGATACTAGACTTTAATTTACATGTACAGTGTGCATGTGAAATACCGGTATGTACCGGTGCATACATGTACATGTGTACCATGCATGAACTACATGTAAGTGCTGTCAACATAGGTGTGCAGAGCTCCATTTAAACTGTTGGCTGTTTTGTGCATTTCCCTCTCCAGTTTGTCGGTACATGATAGGAGAAAAGAGGAAGAACGCCGATTGAAAAGTGTGAGTTTTACCATCACTGTTTCTTGCTATTCATTTCAAAAGTTTCAAAAGGAACTTATTTTATGGTGGGAGAAACTGAAAAAGCGTGCGTTAATCAGAGGGATACTGTACATGCATGTAAGATATGCCTAGATATTAAGTGGAAAACCTCACAGAAGGCAAGGACTTGAATCTTAACATGCCAGCTCAGGAAGAGATCATTCTGGATGTTACGTACACATCGGTACGCTAAATCAAATCAGCACAGAACCTGTCACAGGCACTGTAAATTCTATTCTGTTCAAATCCCACTTCCATCCATTTCTTTGTCATTTACACATCATTATTTATAGATAAGCTGTAAGTCAGTTTCTCTAAATGATTTTTTTGAAGACAGGCAATGTACCCGTAATTTAGAAATGGAACAGTCTGATATGAAAGCTGTTTCAGCTATTAATCAGAGCATGGATGATCAGAGCTCTCTTTGGCCAAGCATCTTTCTGCCCAAAGTACTGGTATAGGTACACATCCTGGTAGTTCTGTGAAATCACCTTGAGAGAATTTTGTGCTGCATTTCCCTTGGAATGTGGCTACAATTTCCTGGACTCTGTTACCGGAAAAAGTGACTAAACAGTACAAGTGGACTGTTGTTGACATTACGGAAGTGGACCATCTGTCTCTCTCAACCTCAGGGACTGAGCCTGGGTCAGCCTCTGTTAAGAATCTTGTTATGACTGTAGAGGCACTACTGGGAGGCTGGCATCACACAGCGTTGTGTTGACAGGGGTGTCAGCTGCTCTGGGGGTGTTTGTCAGGTGGCATTTGGTCTTGGCCTCTGGATGAAAATAGGCCCATGTGGATGACTGTTGCCCTGGAGAGTCATCCATTGCTCTTAAGTTACCCATTTTTCTTCTATTTGCAATGAATCACATCTTTTTTTTTCCAAATTTGTATGATGAAGCCTTACAGTACAACGTGGGCTTTTTAGCTGCAATAAGACACGTAAACCGTAAACCGTACACCATGAATCATGGTAGAAGCAGTTAGATTGTGGCAAGGGACCCTGGAGTCCGTTTACTTACAAACTTGTATAACATGTTTGAGTAAGGTAGCAAGGTTGAAATCCTGCAGAGTACGTGTTTGTTAGCAAGTCTTAAAACAATTTATGTACATGTACATAATTCATGGCCATGGTGGAGTAAAATTGGAGTGCGTCTGGAATTTTGCAAATCCTGATTGGGCTTCTTAGGGTTTAAGACGCAAGTTTACATGATTTGAATTTCACACTGTTCAGGTGTGCATCACAATATTCTGGCTGGGCCGGACTGCCAACCAGCTGGACACCTTCACTGGTCCCCAGCTCAACTTGGATGCATTTGCTCCCTTGATACACGGCTCCTCCTCACTGGTCAAGGTAGGATATCCTTTCACGCAAGTCATTTATCAATCATTTAAGTCAATCAGAAGCTGATTCTTGCTGTAATGCAAGGGAGCTCACTGTAAGCCCGTTTGATTTGCATGGATCCAGATAGTGATCAGTGATCCGACGTTGGTTCGCTTACACCAGAACCCGCCTTATGGATGGTGCGAACCAGTGTTGGCATCACCGATAGAGATCCAGATCTATATGAAACAAACTGACCCTTGAGAAACATTTGACAGACCCTGTAGAGTTGAGTTGATCCGAGTGACGACCTTGACCTTGTTTGCCCCTTGCAGGAATTTGACAATGCTAAATTTGGACTGAACTTGTTGCAGCTGTTTTTGTTGAAGAGGCAAAGTCATCGTGAGGGGGAAGGGTTAACCTCCCCCACCCCCAGAACATCCACTAACATCATACCATACAAATGCCTATACCTGCACACCCTCTAACAAATACCCTACAATGCCAAAAGCAAAATGGGGAATAAAGGAATAACATGAAAATCTGTGTTCTTTTTTTTTTTTAAATTTTAATTTTATATCTGTGATCATGCAGTGTAATGCACTTTTGGTATTTTTAGACTCTTAATTACGGTATCTCTGGAGGTATTGTAGATGTACATGTATCATAATATCAATCCTCACCACCCGTCTCATCAGCTACTGGTAGTGATATGACACAGGTCAACTCCAATTATGCCACTAATCCTTTGATTGATGACTGTAACAACAAAGTACTTTTAACTATGACTGATTATTTCACGCCTCAAGACTGGCCAAGTCTTGACTCCTCTTGAGGAGGGAGAAGAGGGAAGTACATCTTCACTTGTGTATCTTGGAATTCACAAGGAGAATGTTTGATATCCCTGTGTCGTAATATTGGGACTTGTACACTGCATGTTATGAGGAACAGTCTGGAAACCAGGGGAAATGGTCGGAATCCCCGTTTATTGCACAGTAGTTTTCGTTGTTGTGATGTTGTGCATTTTTGTTAAAGATAATCAACACTTGTTAAATCCTTGGAATTCCACCAAGATCCTCTCTTTTGATGAACAGTGACAGATGTAATGAGAATAGCTGGACTATCCATCCATTTGTTTTCTGTCATTTCCAACCATTTGCAATTTCTGACCTTGAGATACATGTGCATGTATGTTAGCAAAATGTACATACACAGTCTCCTGAGAAAGCATGAGTGTTACTGACTGCAATTGTATTCAACTGTCACTGTCATCATTTGTTCAGGGTCTGTCACCTGATAACGCCAGCAGTGGCGTGTCTTCCTGGGCAAGCGGCGGAAGCCTCAACAACAACCTCCGCACAAGTCTTGGCTACAATGATGACGTCTTCACCTCAGATGGCATAGACCTGACTGCCATCGCCCCTGAAAAGTACTCGGAACCCAAATGGAAGCGAGACCTTAAGAAGGAACTTGATAGCTCTGTGCCTGGATTGTCTGAATACGCTGACCACGCCAACAGTAGACCCATCTTGAGGATGGACACCTCACGCCGCAGACCGCCGCCCGTCGCGGCTAAGCCATTGCACTCCCGCAGCAAGAGCATGCCAGAGAGGTCCACCTTGGAGCGGCAGAACTCGGTGGAAGATGAGGATTCCCAATCTTACCGCAGTGGGTCATCGGGAGACCCGACAAGTCCCACAACGTATGACGAGTTTGTGAAGAGCAAAGGCTTGGTACAGGAGGACCAGGAAATGTGGATGTCGGTGAGTTGGCCGTGGGAGGCACTGTCATTTAACCTGTCAGACAAGCTGCAGCAGTTTCTAAAAATCAGTGCCTTGCAATTAGCCCTTCAAATGCTGCATGTTTTAATATTTGTACAACTGGATTGCAGTGGCAATGAATAGTCGGATGAATTCTAACCATCCTCAATTTTTCACCTTTGGAGGGTTTAAGACTGTTTAATAGGGTTAATGTAAATACTGGTATTTGATAAACACAAATGTTCATTGATAAGTTAATGAAATGTTTTGTCACGAATAACTGTGTTGTTGATAAGGGGCATCTTTTCACCTACCGTACAACATCGAGGAATGTTGTCCTGTTTTATCCTTAATAAAATTCACAAGTATTTTGTACAAGACTTTTGAATCTTGAGAGACAAGTACTGGTTTAGAGTTACGACTGTTGAGGCTAACGGATGAGACGTTTTTATTCACAAATTATTTCTGGCAGTTTTGGAGGTTGTTGTATTTGTAATTGCACAGTGTATGTATGATAACAATAACGCTGCATTTAAGGTGTGATGTGTGTAATCACATCTTCATACATGCACATGCATTATATGTACAACATGAACATTGTATGATGCAAAGTCTGTGCCATTTGTCAACTCCGTCGTCCTCATTTTTCTTGCATGTTCCCATGTTCAGTTTTTTGGTTTTGTTAGCATGCTTAAACCCCAATTTCTTTGTATGTGCGTGTGTGTTTTTAAGATGGCTGATGCTGGGTCGACAGTGCTGTCCGTTCAACGGGTGAGTGGTCATACGTAGCCGTTTATCTCCTCGGGTTCTCATGGTCTATTAACAGTTAATCAATCATGCAAATAATCAAGCAAATAGATTAGTTTTCGCTACTTGATTTGTAGCCTTAGACCCTCTCCGCTGGTTAATCACAGGGTTTTTGTGGTGCGAGGGAAGGCTACAACTTTTACGTGCCGAGGACATGATTTGCATGTAGGCGGAGTTAGATGAGGTCCATGGGAAATTTCCTTTCTAAAACGCACATTCATTAACTTAGTGTTCACTCTGTATGTTGGGAGTGTCTCAATGGAAATTAGTGTACACGTACATGTACATACATACATCTGTACATGTAGATATTTGTACATGTACATGTTCATGTACCGTACCGTACTAATACATGTACAGCGTACCATACATGTGCATGTAATGTACGTACATGTAGGTGTATGCGCATGTACATATAGGTGCGTAAGTGCATGTACGTACATGTACATGTAGATTTGCTGTTTCAGTATCCATTAGGGGAAGGTTCTTCTTGGAGAGTGATTCTCAAGATTGCTCAACATTTGTAGTAACAGGTACATGTACATGTACATGTATGCAACTTTTCCTCAGATTAGCTGATATGGCATGTTCTTCATAAAATGGACCAAAATGCAACTTCAGCTGTCATTTTTCCAAACTTCTAAAAGAGTGACTTTGATCGTGTAAAATACAAATTAGCATTAATATGTACATTAGGCATAATATGGACTTATGGTGGACATTTGGTTGGCTACCAGTGCAAATCAAATGGAGTTGAATTCATTTAAAGTTTTACGTCAAAGTGTTTACGCTAGAGGACTTGATTTCAAAACTTTCAAGCTGAGCCTTCCAGTCCAAGATGGTGAGAACATGTTACCCCGGTACAATGTGCAAGTCATAGGCTTAATACATGTAAGCATACAAGGATAAGCAGTAACCTCAGCAATTCAAAAATACAGTATCAGAAACAACTCCCAATTGTTCAAATATTTGTATTTGTCATTTGTCAATATTGTTGAAGTGACAGTGAACCTTGGGGCTGGTGGACTTTGTGCCCATGCTCTCATAGAGTCATATTTTGGTTGTAAAGGGAAGGGGCCAACATACCATGATTTGATGGCATGTAAGGTGGTCCGCCAGCCATAATATCATTAGGCCTGCTCTGCCATCTGTGTCTCCACCTTATCTCGTTGCAGTAATCAATTTATGAAAATGGCTACTAACAGTAATGGAATTAGGCGGCATGTATTAGATTAATTCATAACATTTAGGATTAGTTTAAATTAAATATCATTGGTTTAAAATGTTGTTTCAAGTTAAGGGCATTGAACTACTGGTTCCAAGTTGCTAATGTGTGAAATACCAGTGCATGTACCGGGTAATAGTAGGCTTACCGGTAGATGGTATAACATCTACATTGTCTTCACTTGTAAAGCAGACTACCGTATAACTGTAAATTAAATATTTGTAAAATTAATATTTAACAGATTTCTCAGTGACTGCACAGTGACTTGAAAGACTTAAAGCCAAACCGAACAGAACTATCAACAGCTCAGCCAACTTACCATGCCAAAAAAGCCTGCAACTAACTGCTTATTTGCTTCCGCTAAGAAATTTTCTTAACACTAACTTGCTCTAATTATTTATGTACGCTGCGGACTCTTGGCCTGAAGCATGGATGTTGTTGTTCTGACTGCGGTTTGACATCCAAGATGCAGTGAAAGGCACACACCTAAATGGTGCCGAGTGTGCACGATCAGATTTTGTTTGAATGTGCACAAAGCTACTTTGAAGAATCTGAGAGTGTCTGCAAGGCAGAAGTCAATTGTAATGTGTACAGTAATTTGTGTTTTCTTTTACTGAGAGCGCACAGGGTACATGTACATGCATGCATGCACAGAGACCATAGTTATTCAGATTTTGTCATGGTGAGGAGGGCTGATTAATTCTCTTAAATACCACATTCACTGTATTAATGATATGACATGATTGTTATCCAAACTGTGGTGTGAAGCTCGTTAACATGCTGTTTAGGACAGACGGCATCAACCTTCCCAGCTCCTGTCCTTGGCAGTGAGCCAGTGACCTTCATGATTGATATCTGAAAATCGCATTGCAATATTCCGAGGAGAAACAAAACCTTTTCTGTTCGCACTCATCTGTATTTCTCATGATAGCACTTTACAAATGTTCATCATCATTTGGCGTAACTAATGCCCCGGTCTTACTTGAGTCTTGTAAGACTTACTCTACAAATATTCAATTCCTTGACTCTAATTTGAAGCATTTGAGATTCTTTAATAAGCAAATTCATGTGTTTAAGAAATTCTTGAAGTTTTTTCCCTAGTGAATCAGAGCCATGGTACATGCATGTACACCAAATCATATGTGCCTAAACCAAAAGTCTGGGGAAGATCTGCTTCCAAAATTTGACCAGTCACATTGCGTTTGTCTTAAAAAGAGAATAAATTTGGTAATTCTTTTGCCACAATTAATTAATTCGGTCACCATAAATGTACATGCTACATGTATGTATGTTTTATCAAGGTAGGTACAAATACCGCTGCTATGATATACACATGTACATGCATGTACATATGGATATACTCAAGGTAGGTGCATATACCGCTGTTATGATATACATGTACATGTATGTACATATGGATATATGTAACATTGTTAACATGTGCTGAGGAGGACAAGAGAAAGATACTGTACATGTGTACAGATGTATTTGGGTTTGACCGCTTTTAGATGCCAAATCACCGTACATAAGAGAGCACCTGCAAAGGCATTGTACATGTACACTCTTTAAATCCAGAATGATGCATTTTTTTATTTCAGTAGAACTTAATATACATGTACATGTACATGTATTTGTAAGCACACTCAGGCATGCATCCCTGGACAGAGCCAAAAACATTTGGTCAAAGTACATGTATCATCAGTATACAACTTTTGAGGTTAGAGTTATCACCCAATTGAAAAAAAATTCAGTCTTTGAACCTCTTTAAGACTCTTGAAATCTATGGTAAGCTATTTAGCTGTTCAGAATCCTGTATTGCACACTGAAGTCAAAGATCATGGTGGTGTGCAATGTACACGTAGAGTAGGCAGATGTATCATAATGCTACAGTTGTTGTGATAAAGATACTACTCGTCTCAGAATTGAAGTAGAAAACATCAGCATTTGAACTGTATCTTGCTTTTCTGCAAAGGTAAGAGACAATATTAGTTACATTTCAACCTGCCGTATGTGCCTTTCCAGAATGCATTTTTTGTTGCAAAATATATTTCCCCGGTGTGTTTTTGAAGTGTGCAGTCATGTACATCAATGAGTGTTACTGGTGCATTACAGCGTCATTGTTGAGGTAAGTGCGCACATTGTCACACTGCTTCTGTGCCACATCAGGTAAACTGAATGAAATCATCACCAGATGAACCTGCGGTTTAAAAGAGTTATTCTCGAGTCCATCCTCTGTTTTTATTTTGCCAGAGTTTGGACTCCTGGAAGTCACGTCGAAGACGTGCCACTCACTCCGCCCTTGAGAGAAAGGCATCCCGAGAGGAAGTTGAGCAGCAGGAGCTATCAAAACAGAGAAGGCGTAGCAAGACATACCAAGAGATGATGGAGGAAAAGTAAGTGGGACAGCCGCGGTGGTGGATTACAGAAAAGAGGAATAGTCTTTGAAATACATGAAGGGGGGGGAACTGATGTTGCTCTGTGTAACTTTGAAAAATCTTGCCACTGGTTGACCTTTGACATTCTGTGTATGAGGGTCATAAGAGGACATGTAAGCCTGTGATTGGCTGGTTCTCCTGACTAACCAGCTTACCTTTCCTTGAGTGAGCCCTAGGAAGCCAGGGGCACGTTACATGTCACTGCCAATTTGGATACATGGTTCACTGAGAACCCAAGCTGGTGAGGCAGCCCTTAAAAACGTGAGGCAAGAAAGGGCCATCATCTCTTTAACACATCTCCAGGACTAAGTAACAGCGCTCCAGTGGCATCATGATTTATTACTTTTGATTGAGATGGTGAGAGAGTTGAAACTCTTGAGACTGAGATGGCCTGAAGTCCTAAGGACTCCCCCAGACCTCAAACCTCAACCTAGACAACCTTTCACCTTACAAAGGCAGTTTGCGTGCACACAATATTCACATGTTTGTTTTTAGCTTGAGGGAGGGGTGTAACGTTAAAATTCTCTGCCTATATACTTGTATGCAAGGATAGGCTCCTGCTGGTACATGTACATTTGACTGTACAGAAACTGAAGCATTGAGATGGACAGCCATACAGTGTTTGGATTCTTTGTTGTCAGAAAGTTGCCATGATATGGATAGCATACATGCAGGCCTACGTGCGATGAACAGAGCCTGACATCTTTCATCCAAATGTTGATCAGGAACTAGCTTTCTGGGCCATATAACAATTCAGGAAAAGTTGCTGCATTGCCCTTTGCTATATTGACACTTTTGTTATCTTTAAGAATCGTTAAATTTTGGTTTTTTGCTAGGGAGAAACGGGAGAAAATTTTGATGAAGATGGCTTCTAAGAACAAGTCTCTGGATGCAGAGGACATTGTGCACATCCTCACCAAACCCGCGCTGTATGAGGAAGAAATCCGAGACGTGCCTGAGGTGAGTTAAGAAGCCCCACCATACCAACTTCTCTCATCAACTTTGCTCTGTCTTTCCCCTGTCAATATGTGGAGATTCCATACCGGTAGGTTTGTTACAACTGCCAAAGCTGTGAACTTGCTCCTTGCCCAAGTATGGGGTGCTCTTTATCATGATTGGCGGGACTTGCCTCGTGATAAGCATGAAGACAGATGGGATAATGATATCTTGAATGAGTTCTGTAGATGCATGAACACTTTTCCTTAGGAAATGTTGCAACATGTTTCTGCAATGCCTGCTTACTGTTACAATACGTATTGCAAGGAGTTGGTACCGGTAATGTTGGAATGTATCCACAGGATAGCCTCATGGGGGTTTGGGCACCAGTCATGCCAGTCAAGACCAGCTTTCTATTTGGCAGTCAGTAGTGAGTTTTTGAGAAGCATATATTCTGAACCTCGAAGTTGACGTGTGATTTGTGATTATTGGTCACATACATTCATGTAGTTTCCTATAATAATATACGCTCATGTATTAGTTTGTGTTGACTTTGCCCGTGGATATCCTGTTAGAATTTTATCATCTTTTGAAGATTAAGTCTTGACAGGAAGACTTTCTCTCGAGCAATGCTTCACTCAATTTCAGAACCACACATGTACTTGAGAATTTTTCAACAGCATGAACAAGTTTAAGATCAGATCAGAGAAATATTTGGACTCGTATCATTGTGTATTAAAAGTGCATTCACAGCATAACATTGACCCCTGGGCCATATACAAACTACTCCAGAGGACATCCTGTAGATACTTTCAATGTTGGGAGTTGTACACTGTACATAAGTTTAACAATAGGTATGTTTCATTAAAATATTTGGTCATACAGGGTTGAATTAACAAAATTATTACTTGGAATGGAAAAAGTTATAGTTTCACCTCATTTAAATATTAATTTGGTGCTTTTCTTAAGAATTATGAGTTTTAAACAATTTAACCGGTGATTTAATTCCAACTAGTTAATAATATCTCCATGTTGAAACTGATCAGATGAAGAGTTGTCGCCTGCCTGCATTAATTTTACTTGGCTCCTTGCAGCGTTAGAAATCATTGCTTTGATCATGCATTCATGCGGGGTACCAGTGATCCATGCAGTTGCTCTCATTTCTTCATGTTCATAGCAGTTTGTGCATTCTAATTCATTTCCAAATTCAACATGATTTTTATTATGCGCAGAGCAGAATTGATAGGTTTTCTTTTCTTTTTTGTGGAGGAGGGTGTGTCTTGTGATCCTCACAACTTCACTAAAAAGTGCAATCAAAGACTTTGTAATTTTTTTGCCTCAGTTTAATTTCACGTACTGTTTTAGCGATATGTGAACTTGGCATGTGTTGACTTGAATTTTTGTAGAAATCGTAGGCAGCAGGTTGTCAGTCTTGAGTCTAGAAGTCTAGATAAGGCATGTTTGTGACTTGCTATCCATACTTACCGGTAGATTTGCAGCTTTTTATAAGATATGTACATGTAGCATACCTCTTCGGAGAGGATTTGGGAACTGTCGTATTTCCAGTGGCTTTTTGTTGTGCCTCAGCAGGTTTGTTGTCAGTGGTGCTACAGACAATAGACTGATTATTATAGGTGAAATTATGTATATGCGCACCTTTAGATTGGCCAGAATAATTATTGGTGGCCACAATTGTCTGAATGAGATTTGAGTTAATTTTTGTCTGATAGAGGTCAAATGTACTGGTACATGGGCATGTAAATTATGTACATGTACAGGGTACGAGTTAGGTTCGGAATAGTGGGTACACTGTATGGGAACGTTTTGTACAGTGGCTTAATCTGAGGAATTTTCTTTTGGTATTTTTGTCGAAATTTTGTGTGTATGTTGCCTGTTGATGAAAATGATTTGTTCTGCCTTGGTTGCAAGATTGTCAAATACAGATCACATGGACTCTTCCTTTTACATGTACATGTACCAAGTCCTGACTTTATGGTTGAGGATTGAGTTTTATCAAAGAATTTAGGGCTTTGTGTGTAACCTCGGTATTGGACCTGTAATTGTGCCCTGCTCCTGGGCACGAAAATGAGATATCCGTTCTAGTTACCTGAAGGTAAGGGCCCATTGTGAAGAATTATTTCTGTCAAGCAGCTGTACCTGTACATACATGTATTCATTCAGTATACTGGTATTTATCCTGTGGAAATATGCCATATTTTTGTGCACATTCTGGCAAAACAGTTTCCTACATGTACAGGTACATGCACTGGGTGCCATTAGTTTGTCGGACTCTCAATGCTGGATTTGCAGTTATATCTCGTTGCTGTTACATGTACAAGTACTTGTCTATGAAATACTGCCCTCTATCCTGCATGCACAGAGCAAATTATCTCCACAAGCATGCATCCATTTTGAAGGATACTCTTATGCAACATTTTATTCACAAAGATTTTTAAGGTTATTGACATCACTGTATTTTCATAATGTATCATCAAATGTGTAAAAAAAAGATTTTACAGGGTCTAAATTTCCACACAGAATATTTAAATGTCTTCAGTATATGTAAAAACGCCCCACCGCCTTAAACTACTGGTAGCATCAATATATTTGTACTAAAAATATAAATTTATCCTTGTTACACTGTACTTGCCGTATTTACTGAGCAAGCATTTTGTGCACTGTTGGCTGTTCTGTGGTGGCTTTGCATCTTTTGTAGTAGCACACACATGTAGCCTCAAATTACATTGAAGGATTTGTTCCTAAATAAACTCTGGTAATGAGAGTTTATTTGATGACCATGTCAAGCAGCCTTATTTTTATTCATTGGTTAAGAAATGTTTCTGAAATTTGGAAGTTTCGGTATGTTTTTGCCAAAAGCCAAAGAAAGTAACCAAGTGGCAAGGAAACTGTTAACATCACAGATGGTTTAACTATGTGAACAGTGAACATGGAAACCAGTAATTTAAGCTCTGGAAGTTACAGAAAGGTTGGAACATAGGGCCAAACATTAATGTATTTGGAGTGTCTTGAAAACAGCTGACTGTTGCTGTAATATTTCATTTGGAATAAATACCAGAAGTACATGTACATGTACATCAGTTAGATGTGTACATGTGTATGCACATGTACTGGTAGCACTCCTCATCAGTTGAGTTCTTTAACTTGATCATGTAAATCATGAAGCACTCTTTATGTTTGTGTGCCTAAATTGGGAAAGGAATTTTGAAGTCCTTTATTTATGTACCGGTACATGTACAATGTATGTAACTTTGGTTCACTTTGGGGAAAGGCTGATCTGGAAGCATTCTGAGTGACAAGCTTCTGACAGTGACAGTGAAGGAATAGACAATAAAAATGTTACACTGCCTGTACATTCCAGACAATTCTGGGTGTCTTTGTTTAAAGTTACACAAGTATAGTAGATTTGGGGATTTGAACAGGTACCCCTAAATGTATTTTAGTGGTTGTTGGGAAAAAGGAAAGTTTTCAGACTTTTATAATTATCTGTTAGAAGTTTTGCCAACTGTTTTAAGCAATAACTGTTTTTGTTTATTTTGTGAAAATAATGTGGTTTTGTTGCACTAGTTAGTGGAAAGGAATGTTAATCGTAGGTTAAAACATTTTCCAACTCTTCTGGCAAGGGATATTTTAGGCATACTTAGGGTTAAGTGTTCTAGGTTAAAACATTGGTCATATTTCATGTTGGTACTGGTAGATATAATTTAATGTTGACTTATGGTAAGAATAGCAGCTGTTATTTACTGGTTGGATTTGCGAGTCTAATTTTGAATGACTTCTGACAAAGGTGATTTTGTAAAAGGCTTTTCCTCCTGATGTTGGTGGTAGTCGGGCATTGTGTTTCCAATCCAAATTTCTTTCAGTTAATGTTGTACATGTACGTGTACATGTAGTTTGGTTCACGGGCAGTCAGGAATTGTTAGTGCTCAGTCTCTGCATGATAGGGGCTTTCATTTTGCTGTCATTGTTGATTGCAGTCCATGATTTCTTTGATTTTGTCGTCCTTTGGTTGACATTGTTGAGTTGTTTGTTTTTAATCAGCTGTGGAGTTCATGGTTTCTTTAATTATAAGGCTTTCTTTTTTTTCTTCTTTTTCTTTAGTCATTGTTTCTCGTTGACTTTTGTTGATCAGGACTGTGGTAGGAGCTTGTTTGTGCTCAGATTTTATTTTGGGGTTTTATTTTGGGTTTTTTAGTGTATGTTGCATTTTGTTGCTTTAATTTCCCTGACAAGAATTCCTTCATAACCATTGTGTTTTCCAATTCCAGTTTATTAATCATCGTTTTCAATTGTGCATGCTGTTTCCCCCCTCCACATTTTGCCTTTTTTTTCCAACCCAGCGACGCACCCGGTCCAAATCCATACCCGGCAATTTCAAACAAGGGGAGTCTATGCCCTCCATGTTTGATGCCACTAATCCCACTTACTCTGTTGACTCCACTGACGCCCCTTCACTGAGCCGTCAACCCCCTCCTGATGTCTTCCCCAAGCCCAAAGTCCGACGAAGTGGTGTTGGGAGTGCTTTTGCCCCTTACCAGCGAACAAACAGTGTCAGTATTCAATTTTCTGATGGCTTTTGTCAGTTGCCCTGTCCCAATTTTTCTGTGGCTGTCTTTTCCTATCTTTCGTATAGCATCACTAACATCATCATCATGGGGAAAAGTTGTTTAGTTTATTGCTAACAGTAGATTTTATAGAGAAAGTGGAGAGTTGAAGGTTCAGTTCAGTCAAGATGCAAAGTGTAGCACAGTCAAAAAAGAATTGAATCATGTAGTTCATTATTAAAAATATCATACATCTACTGGTACACATACATGTAACCTAGTTCAAATCTGACACTGATCTGCATGTACGGTAGGTCTGTGAGGTGTCAGAAACATTTCAGGTGTGAACATTATAGTATTGAAACTGAATTTCTTGTATTTGTACGTGTATGTACATGTACATGTAGGTAAGCCAGTGCAGTCAAACTTCACTAATAATAAGGCCCTTGTTAAAGTGTTAATACAGCATTCTGCATATAATATAATATATAATATAATATATTTTCTTGTTCTCAATCCTTTAGCATTCATTGTTTTCATTCCTGATTACAAAAAGTGCTTGTTGGAACCAGATATTCTGCAAAGTCTAAAGGACCCCTTATCAATGATGTGCAACCTGTATTAACACTCCTGGATGGCCTGGATGTAAAAGAGATGCTTGACACACGTGTTTATGTGAACAAGGATTAGCAAATGTAGCTTTGTTAGGGAGAATTTTGCCATTAATCTTCATCATGTGACACAGCATCTGGGACTGAACTTGACCTCTAACCTCTTGGCAATAGTCTGGATTCCATTGTTCTCTTTCTTTCATGGATTTCTCTCTTCTGTAGCTCATTCATTTAGTGTGATCATCATAATGCGATACTAATTTTCTGTGGTGGTGAAATGCAATTGTTGGAAATTATGTAAGCTGGATAAGAAAAAAATGACACTCTTCAGAAATCACTTTTAAAGGTCTGTTTGCACAAAATTTACCTTCCAAATAGTTTTTGAGCATGAAAATTGGATTTTGAGTATTCTCTTTATGTTTGGAATAATAAATTTTGTAAATGTGCAGCCAGTTCAAAGAAGTGTCATTTTTCCATGCCTGGCTGTCTTTGTGCACACAGTACTTTGAAATCCAATACACCATGAGGAAGATAATCATTTCAGATACTGGTAAATGTGGGTTTGAAAAAAAGATGTTTCTCCTATGGAATTTTGAAAAACTTCTTCATTCTCAGATTGTCTCAATATCATTTGCTTGCACAGTCAAATAGACATTATTTCAGTGTTACAGTGTAGACCCCACCATTCATAGTATTTAGTACTGTATTATTTGAACTAATCCTGAACTATTCATAAAATGTAGAGATAACATTTCATTCATTGAAGCTTTGCTTTTGAAATAAATCAATTTTTTTCATTCAAAATAAAAGTTGAAAGAGTAGTGCTTTGCTTAAGTTGTCATTAGGTGGAACAGCATTTGCATGATGTTGATATCTCATGGCAATATTGCTCAGAGTCCCTCCCAGAGTCCTACAACCTCACTCCCAACTACCAGAAAATGCCTGTTAATCTTTTAACTGATCAATAGATGTATTGCCCTTGATGGTAGGCATTTAGAGTAACAGGGCCCCTTGCTGGGTTGCCCCGACACTTAGCCAGATGGAAATGTCAAAGTTTCTCATTGCAAGCTGGGAATTCTTGACAACATATTTTACAGTCACCTCTCCAACCCTAGTTAATGAGACAGACGGTACTTCATTGACAGACCAACAAATGTCAAGGGATTTAAAACTCATAGTGTGAACTCCCCTGTCAAAAGCATTTCCCTATGCAATAACTGACATAAAGGTACTCTTATAAGAGCTTCGCATGAAAATTGAAACACAGTACAGTATCATTCCTGCTATCATTCCGTGCAAATCTAATCATATTTATAAATTAAGCTTTCCGAAGAAAACTATTGAAACACACTTTCAATTCTGCAGTCTTTAAATTCTTATTACATATATATTATCGTCAATTATGACAAATTGGATTCATTTGTAATAAAACTGGATGGCATAGACAGTCATTCACCTTTTTAAAACTAAACGCAAGTGATTGGGTCTTGGCTAGTTAATTTACTTTCACTTAACTACATATTCATGCTGTATGAGTTACGGATGAATGACTAACACAATAATTTGCTTAGTATATTGAACTGGAAACCAGCCAACATGTCAAGTAATATGATAATGTTGCAGGTTAACAGTTAAATACACTAAGCACTTTCATGTGCATCTTTGTAAACATATATCACTGAATGCATTTCCTCACTGCTCTTAACTACTTTTTGGTGTGAAGTTCACTCATGTCTCCATGGTTAAACTAACTTGACATCACCTTCCATAATTCTGCACAACCCACAATGTGGTGCCACTGCACTTTGCTTGTTAAAATATTACATGCAGGGAAAGGTGAACTCTTGTGGTATCCGTGAAGAATACAGGAAAAATGTTACCCAAAGATTGAAAATCTTTGAATTCATTGTAAGCCTACAGTACATGCAAAACTTTGTGCAAATCACTGGTGCCAACCACGACCTACGTACGTGTAAATCCAACACATTGCGGGGTGAATTTTGAGCTGCCTGAGCAATATTCCCCTAATGACTTGGCAGTGCTCAAACAAGAAAGTTTTGTTGGTCTTGAAATTTTCCTTTTGAAAGTATTTGGTTTTGTTCTGATAAAAGTTTGGTTTTCTACTTGATTGAAATATCAAATGGATGACAATGCTTAGAATCGTTTCAAAGTTTGTTGCACATGACTACACCAGCTGAATTTGCGCAAACATTAATTTTTCCCAGGAACGTAATTTATTATTGGCATGGCCTGTTGGCTTTCGTATTGAGTTCCAGTCACATTCACTGAACACAGCCAGCTACATGTATATATACCATTAGTGTCTCGCATTCCATAACCAGTCATTACGCTTGCTATATGTAATTCGTTGGTGCCAGATTGAAATCAAATCAGGGAATGTCTGTCTTTAATTAATTTCCCAATCCAGTATTGATTGCTTTGCCTACCCATTCTTTTTGGACTTGTTTTTTTAGTTTGCGCTGGCAGTGCTGTAGACCATAAAGGTCTAGCATGGTTTTCAGCTGCTTGTAATTTGAATAAAGCGCATATGCAAATCACAGTTTATGTAGCCTTTTGAAGCAGTAGATATGGGTTTTTTTATGACATTTTGCCATATGGCTGTTTTTATTTGTGATGCAGTGGGCCATGACAGACATATTTTGCATTCAAAATAAAAATTTACATCAGAGGCAGGTGTTCGTGTGCATGGTAATTCTCAAATTAATGTAAACGAAAATAGGATGCATTTTTAAATCTACTGGTAGATTTGTTGGCATCAGTGAATTCACAAGTTACTGGGCAACTCGTGTAGATTTTTAAGCAGAAGCAATGGACATAAGAAATGTTCCAACACGAGATAATTTACTTGGAATTATCCATTTCGAGTTCACACTCCTGGCTTCAGCATGAAATTTTAGTCTTGTGATATAATGTACAAACAGCGTGAAAGCAATAAGGGCAGCCGAACGGTCCTGAGCTCCCAACGTGTGGATGATTTCACCAATCTCCGACCGGGACATGTGGAACCTATGACATTCCGCGAGAAGCTCCTCCGTGACCGAGAACGGGAAATTGGCCTGTCAGCCGTGCAGAGGGACTCCAAATCATCAGCCCGACTGCCGCAGAAGAAAAGACTGAGCTTGGGCATCATGGGAAGGGTGGCCGCATTCAACAAGGGTGAAACTGAGGTGGAGACCCAGCCTAAATTGCAACCTCCAAGGCCAGCCCCCAAACCGGTAAGATTGACAACATAACGGGATGAGTACAAAAAAGCTGCATCAGGCATACTTTGTTTGCAGTTGATTGATTTTTGCTATAATTTAAACAGAGTGGCCATCCATAAAATATCTTTCAAAATGTGCAGTACATGTATATCCTTGCTGACTTTATAAAATGTTAAAGTTTGCATATTAACTCCCATGGGTTCCTTTACTGCCCTTAGAAGTGCCCCGGTGTGTACTGCAGCTGAAGTATTTGAGAGCATGATTGATTTATGAGATTAGTTTGGCCAAATGCTTAGTTACATTAACATGTAGAATGGAGAAAGGTTCATCAGGATTTCTGTTCTGCTTAGTATTGCAATGTGAAGTTTAACCACATTTCACATATAGCTTTACAAACATTCAAGTATGATGTAACGCATAGATGTGACTTGTCACCATAAAATGAGAGGAAAGTCAAAATTTTCAAAAATTGAGATATTGGTATTTTTGAATTCAGCCAAAAAAAGAGCGTTCCAGTGGTATGTACTCGTACAGGTATGGAACACCTGGGGTAAAAGTATAAGGTGGCAATGTGACATTATTCTTGCAACTTTGCATCTTTGTTCCCAACATCGCTTCAACATTTGTGACCATGCAAGAATAATGCAGTCTTCAAAATAGCTGAGAAAATTACACGATCCTGCAAAATATTTGGAATTGAATAGGAGATGGGTTACTCTTTCCAAATATTGCAAAACCCAAAACTTTACCTCCACTTCAATATGACTTTGAAGTTTGAACCCTCAAAATAGGAAAGAGAGAGAGGCGACTTTATTCTCCTTTTGTCATGTCAGGTCACATATAATGACTTGTCTGAACTTTGGATCCATTTTGCAATTTTCATGAATTCATAGTATGCATTAAAAAAGCCTGTTTATTTATGTACATGTATGAATGCCTCAGATATTTTTTAGCATTAATTACATTTGTAGTTGTTTAATTGATTCTAACCTATCTATTAAAATATGTTGGTAAACACACCTGTGGAAAAACACTTTGTCTTTTCTTTTTCAGCATCCTTTTCAAACATGATTGAATCATACACTCTCACATGGAATGCAGTGTTAGGTGGTTGATGACTTGTTCTGCTACATTGCATGTGTATATAAAGTACATACAGTTTACATGTATACGACATTTGTATTGAATCAGTAAGCATTTAATCTACAGAATCACACACAGTACACGTGTGTGATTTTTCTCTTGGCTGGGAAATATTTTTACGATTTTCATGCAGTTTGCAAGTCTCTTTTTTGTATGTAAGTTTCTATTATAAATTTCTTCCCATTTTTTATTACAATTTCTGGCTGAAACATCTAACTATCGTAGAATTCTGGTCGAAATGTCCTGTTTTCCATGAGACAGCTCATATTTCAAAAAGACAGGGCCATTCAAGAACCAAACTTTTTCAGCATGTGTGAGTCAGAATGCGGCCATGCTGATTAGGTCAACCTTGTGCACACGTTACATCATATTTGCTGTTCTTGAATGTCCTCAAGCACTTTCTTTGGGGCACGCTCCGTTAGAATACCAAACTGGCTTATTGATGTACAAACTGAATGAAATGGTTTCCTCTGATTGTTGGCAAGTTAGAATGAAGGAAATCAGAGTAACTTCACTGATCAGAAGGGAATGAGAGAGGGGAGTTCCATTGCTTTGAAGACTACTGAGTGGCTCTAGTTGTCAGTTCAAACCTCAAATGTGTATCATGTCTACTTACATGTACATTTGTATATTTACATGTACATGTATGGTTACACCATCTTTTGAAAACGGTTAGCTAAGGTGCAGATTCGTCTGTACTCGTGCTGTGCACTGGTTATCAAATGAATGCATGAACTCTTGACATGGGATTTGGTTGGGGATTTTATTAGTTAGTTTCCTTTTTTATTTGGACATTTTCCTGTCAGCCAGGCATTCAGAAGGTAGGGACTTCTTGTTCTTATAAAAAAACATGCAATTCACAACACCCCAACTCCCAATGATATTCATGAACCGTATATTAATTTTTGTCAACCACTACTAGTGTCTATATGCATGTGCACTCACAAACGGATTTTTGCTGTTAGTCTGTGCATGTGTGTTTTCAAACACTTAAACTGCTACATACATGTTCATGTATGCGAGATATGTGGAAACTGTGTTCACTGGATGAAGTGTGGAGCTGTGGAGTACATGTATGTACAGACGTTGTGTTCACTAACTGATCCCCGCAGAGTGAAGATGGATGCCGTGATAGCTGCTGGTGTGTTACAGTATGTCACAGGTCTGCATATGTATTTGGCATGGGAATGGTTGGGAAATGACTCTGGTCTGTTGTTATGGGTACGAGCATCTCACAGTTAATTCAGCATGCATATGTCAAAGCCACAGTGGTATTGGATAGAAAGGTAGTTGGTTTCTCACATGGCCATATTTCCTGCAAGAGGAAATACACACACCAGTAACTTAGCCTAGAAATTATGAGACAGAGGTAATGCCCAAAGGACTGAACATCCATGTGTCTCTTTTTTCTGTTTATCAACTTTTTCAATTACCGAAGGAGCCAGAGTACATGGCACTGACTATCAACATGAAGCAGAAACCAAGAAACGAAAACGGCTTTGGATTCACCATCTTCGGAGGTGCAGACAGCAAAAGGCCAATTGTTGTCACCAGCATAACACCCGGTGAGGATCGCTTTGTTTCTTACTTTTACGTATGTATCTGCAACAAATATGCAAGATTAGAAGAACCGTACAATGTACACAGCAGCTTTTAAACAGTTATACAGAACCTAATCCCACCAACTATGATCAAACATGAAATACGGGGCGCTAGTGGGAAATCTCATGGAAAACAATGCGCAAGGAGCACACACAGGAGCATTAATAAGACTCTGACTACAAGTGCTTGGGCCACTCTGAACTTACACATGTTGGGGACTATGTAAAGCCAATCACAAAATAATGGGACAGGAAATGAGATCGCCAACTAGTTTAAACAGGGGTCTGAGATGGTACTCGAGTGCTTCCTCCTTGGTAGTGAGCATGCTTTCCTTGCTGAAATCTCCGCAGAAATAAAAGGCACTCCTTTTTGAACTTGATGTGTATGGAGCATGAAAATCATGGAGGTCAGACACAGAACTCTTCACAAACAACTTCCAGACGTTCAAGTTGATTTTAGATTACTCCCCTCGGAGCAGTCTTTATTTTATTGCAATCACCTTGGCAATGTAGTATAATCCAGTCATAAGTTACTTTTGTTCTAATACCGTGAACTGTATACAGGAAGCACAGCTGACAAGAATGAACTCAGAGTAGGGGATGAGATCATCGCCATCAATGGCGAGACGACCAAGATGGTTACCTATGACCACGCTCTGTACTGCTTCAGTTCCTCTGTCTTGGATGGAGAGCTTACACTGAAAGTTCATCGCTATGAAGATCTGGGTAAGTTTGTAAGGAGGGCTGATGCTTATGTTGCATTACAGGTCGTTCTTGAAATGAATTTTGAGTTTTGTCTTGAATTCAAGAATAAAAGTTGCATCATAAGGTATAAATAGATAAATGTATTCCTTTTTCCAATGAGATCTGGTTTTTGAAATTTGAAACAGTTACGTTTAGACACTTTCACCAGTGTGATGCAATAGTGGGCTCAATTTTGTGTGAAATTTTATCAAGTGACTACGCATAGATCAGATATTATACTGCTGGAAGAGCATGTGCATTCACCATAAGAGTTGGAATAACAGTTGACCGTTTGTAGAGATAAATTAGGACATGAACCTTCTCAGTCAGACATTATGTTCTGGTACAGGAAAGAGAGTCCGTAGCACTTCAGGCACTAGAAGCACCGAGCACACCACAGCTAAATCAGACACCTCTGAGTTTGCCAAGCGTCGGGCCTTCTCACAGCCCTCAGACCCCAAAAACCTCTCGCAGGCCGCCAGAGCCAGGAAGATCCTACAACAGATGAGGGACGAGGAGCAGAGAATGGAGGATTTGAGATGGGAGAGAGAGGAGGAGAGAATGGGTGCAACAGTCAACGGGTTAGCACTTTGCTCAAAGTTCTGAAATTTGTTCCCAGTGGAGACTGATAAAAATATTGACAAGTTAATGTACCGATATCTGATGACATATTCTAGAATGTGATTGTTATAATGTAAACCTGGGGCCAATTTCATAGCGCTGCTTAAGCGAAAAATTTGTTTAAGCGTGAAAAACCTTGCTTGGCAAATCACGTTACCAGCCAAAACTTCTTGTAATGTATATTGTTTTGGAATGGTATTTACCTGTCTTTTGGTTAGCATGACTATCACATAGAGTTTGAGCTGGTAACCTTTGTTTATTAAGTAGGGTTTATTTGTGCTAAAGCAAATTCTGTGCAACACCGCTCTATAAAATTGGCCCCTGCTTGTGGCTATATGTTAAATCACAATAACTACTTTTTGAACATAATGGAAGACAAGCAAAATTTGGCAGGCCGCTAGGGCTTGGCTACATCTGTAGGTTTGAAAGACAGCAGGTTAGCGAATGTTTTACAATACCTGCATAAATTCCTGTCATCTGGTTGGTCGCAGCCTTTGTTACATGCATTTGGATTTACTCTGTACGTGCTGGTTTCCAACTCAAACAAATCAAGTGCAGAAAAATTGTATGTGAGCTCTGCAGTGGATTTAGCAGTGAGTTGTGAGCTGTTCAGTGCAGCACAAACTGAATCTTGTCATGACTTCAATTTCTTGTGGTTTATTTCCAGCAATCAGAATTGGAATCACAGTGACAACAAGCAAGGCCCCTTGAGGGCGTACTACGATGAACCAGAGGTAAAATATCATGTGGAGTAATAGGCCAAATACCAACACTATACAACTGCAAGTCTTGATTGTGAAACAAATACATTGTGGATCGTATACATGAAAAATACTGGTATATTGACGGATTTTCTGAAATGAAAAATTTAGATTTCATGAAGGGCATTACCAAATTTGCTTAATTCTATAGCAATGTAAAGCCGGCAAATTTTAAAAGCTTAGAAATTAGTGTAGTACCCTCGTTGGTAATTTATCAAAAGAAACAGGAATCAGTTTTTAAGAAAGCTTAATTTCTTGACCAAGTCAAGTTTATTGTTGAGGAAAACCTGCATCAAAATGGAAGCAGAAATGGAATGTAATATTTACCATAAATGCACTGTTTATTTAAAAATAGGAAAAAAGTCCCCTCCATATTCTAGAAGAGCACAATTATTTTGCATGATGCACGGAAGTTGTAATTGTTATCCTATCCTTGTTGTAGAAATAATTAAGTCTTACAACTGGACTGTTAGTTGCCTTTAATTTCACAAGAAAAATGCATGCTGATTTTTCCTCACCCAATCCCTCAATACAAACAGCCTGAAGAGCGACCCTTAGGTGATGCTATCCCATCAGGCCCGGCAGCCTCCTCTGTGTCTGAACCTGCAGACTCTGTCCCTTTTAAGAATTGGGAAGACACCCAGATGAGTCCAAATCACACCTCGTTTATTGAACCAGAAATCAAGCAGGATGTTGTGAAGCCAGTAGAAAAACCTGACCCCTTTTCAAATCTTGAAAGAAACTCTCCTAGTAGGGAAGAGTATGGGGAATCCGCTCAAATTAGCATTGAGGTGAAAGGTGATGAAATATCTCCCAAACGGGATACCATATCACCCAATACAGGGATTGTGTCAGATAACTTAACAGAGGATGTTGATGGAAAATATCCCTATGATGGCGTAATTAACTTAAAGCCAAAGGTTGAGGGAGATCGCATTGAACCTGTAGAAACTGTTGTTAAGACTGAAGTAGCTAAAGAACAATCAGTAAACCTGTTGAAGCTGCTAGGACATGACGCTCTTGAAACACCCCAATCTGGCCCCCTGGCAAAAGATGGGAACAGACCAGAAGAGACTGGGCCTGATGGGGGTATAATAGATGATCCTCCAGACAGGAAGACTAATAAGTCCAAGGTGAGTGGGCGTGGTCACGTTTCCACTGACAATGGGATGAAATGTCTTCATCACTAACCACGCACCTTAACACCACTCTGAGTGAATAACTGAATAAGCACTGTAGTTTCTTACTACTAATTCTGTCTTACAAGACATCGTAGGACTGGTTCTACTCATTAGTTCAAGTTTTCGAAAATTAAAAAGTAAACCATTCAACCTTGACAAATGGTTTCCCCTTTTCAAATGATACTTAACAGTAATTCTGATCTTGGAAAGTCCTAGATATGTAACCAAAAGGGGAGGAATCACAATCATAATTTTTAAATCTGTCTTTTTTCTAATCTGTAAGCCTCATTCACATTGGATTAACAATTTGGAAAGATTGACAATGACTGTACATGTAAGTAGAGAAACGCTGTCTGCCTCCTTGGATGAATGTGATCAATATTCCACCGACTTGCTAAGAAAGCTGTTTGTTTTCATGCTGTGTATGTGGCTGGTTGTTTCTGAGCCCCACTGCTGGCTTTTTTTTTGCTGTGGTCAAGTTGTCCATAACGAATACAGCTTGTGGAAATGGACCATTTGTGTTTGAAGTAGATGGTTACCTTTTTTAAGAAGGATATTTGATTCACGTTAGGACAAACTGAGTCTTGTCATATCTTGTGTTGATTGGGAAGGCATCCACTTCTTCCATACCATCTAGGAATACATGTGCCTTAAAATGCAAAATCCAGGGATGGAACTTTTCCTTGAAGCAGGTGTTTTTTTTACTGTATGCCGTAACAAACTAGATATACATGTACTGTACTCAGTCTTGTACAGCGTAGAATCTAGCTGCATTTTTGTTTGTTTAGTTTTGTTTGTTTTTTGTGAGTGCCCTGACTTGTGCTATCTTTTAACTCTTCCAAGAGATGGGAATGTATATGTACCTCCTTTGTGTCAAAAATTGTGCTGTTGTGGAAAGGTCATGTTGTCTGGGTCATCCCCCGGGGCATAGGGTGGAGGAGAACATGAAGTTCATTTAATATTTGTTTTCTCATTTCATTTTTTCATGGTGGTGGTTGAAATCTAACATTTAGTGTTGAGATTTAACTAGTTAGTTTAACTAAACTAAAATGTCACATCTTTTCATTAATCCCTGTGCTATGTGTCACTTGTGAAATACGCAGCACTTTTTTGCCGATTTCTGTCTTCTTTAAGATAGATGCTCCTGATACGTTTTGCCTATTTTCCCAGGTGCACTTTGAAACCTCTTAATCATTTCCTTTCTTCCTGTCAACTGCAATCTGATCATACATTTACAGGTATTTGATTTTTCCCTGTGCTATTTTTTGTGTCTTATTACCACAGCCTACACCTATGGCATCTTGTTTTCTTATGGATAATGCTTTATTTTTGAAAAGTTATGGAAAAGTTTAGGCTGTTCTTTCTTCAAACTTAAATCTTATGTTTAAAGGTTAACGGAAATTGAAAACAGTTAGGTATGTGAAGTATTTCAAAATAATAATAGATAGGTAAACATTTCAAAAACAGCATAAATTCAATGTTTACCCCTTTAATGGTGACCCCAAAATAAATGAAAAGATCCTGTGTTTCTGCACCCACAAAAAATCCCCTTTTGGCCCTTCACGCTCCCAGGCTGTTTGATGACATCATTGGCAGAATGCCTACATGTACAATGTACATGTACATTGCATGATTGCACACAGTACGTACAGTATTGCAAGCATGCAATAGACCACATTGTGTTTGATGTAGCTTGGCCCACAGACAAACACTGTCTCAGTTCAAGAAATACATGGTAGGACTGTGTCTTTCAACTTCTTGCTGTCGGGGAACCCCGTTTCGAGAACCATGGGTTTGTATGCAGAACTGGGGTGCCCAAAATGGGACAAAAGAGCTGATCCGTGTAAAGACCGTACTCAGAACAAAAGACCTGCTGCTGGGAATTGCCATCAGTTTTCGTCTTGCATTTTTCGAAGGTAATTCATCACTGTTTTAAACAGTATACCACTATTTTGGGCATAGCGCGCCTGCGGATTAGCACCACGGACAAAAGTGCTCCAGGGGCCAATGATGAGCGACACGGCACCGCTGCTCGCTAATTCAGCCGTGTTTGAAAAGACTCCACTGGCATTCACTTGGGACAAAGGAAATCATGCAACACCTCACAATTCTAGGCTGTCTTTTTCAGGGCAGTAGGCCTGGCTGAAATATTCAGGAGTCAATGGAGGTTACCTGTCAGCTAAGAGTAGCCACCAAACAGTCATTCGTGTGGGTGTAAATGTCTATTAAATGAAATTATGAATTTTTGAAGAATTTTGAAAACTGAAAATCTTGAAAATTGCCCGTAAAATGTATGTGTGCACTGCATTTTCAAAAGCACCAGGCAACATGTGGTTAATTTCTACGGTGAATTGAGACATTGTTTGCCTGTGCATGTAGGCATTTTGTCAATGACGTCATAAAATCAACCTGGGAGTGCGAATGGCCAAAATGAGATTTTGTATGGGCAGGGAAACGCAGGATCTTTTTATTCATTTTGGGGTCACAATTTATGGGGTAGACATTGAATTTATGATGTTTTTGAAATGGTCCCATGTTTATTGCTATTTTGAAATACTTCACAAAAACTAAATGTTTTCAGTTTCTGTTAACCTTTAATTTTTGTTGTTGTTGAAGTAATAAACCCATAAAAATAACACTTGTACCATAGATAAAAAGTGAATGCCAAGTATCAACCTACATTGTCATTTCCCACCATTGATATTCCTTGCTTGTCACCCGCTTATTAAATCTTGCCTTGCCCTGTTAGGAGATTGAAAGCGATGGAGATATGTTTTCGTCAGAGGATGATGAGAGAATGGAAGAAGAAATCATGAACAAGATGCAAGAGGAACAACGAGCTGAAGAAGAGGCAGAGGCCAGGCATCGACGCATTGAAGAAGATGAACAAGATAAGGTATGAAGCAAATTGTTAAAATTAACGTTTAGTTAAATCAAGTAAAATTATTATTCATGCATTTATCATTGTGCAAGTGAAAAACCATTGAACAACCTTTTTCTCAACAGTTGCCGGTAGAAGAGGACTTTATCACATCCCGGTCGAAACTGACTGAAGAAGCACCAATCAGCAAACAGCAACACACATCCGAGGAGAGCGCTCCTCCTCTGTTGCCCTGGCAACGCTCAGGAGACAGCGGTAAAATGCCCAAGTTCCAGCCAGTGAAATTCTCTGCAGGTCCAAGGCCATTCTCGAACCGGCAGGGTCCTGAGCCATACAAGCCACCATCTTTCAAGCCGGTCAGTGTAAAGGACAGTGCGCCGGATGTCAAGCAAGACATGCTGAAGCGGCGGTCGGACTTCTTTAGTAAGCCACCAGAGATAGGCCTCTTGCCTGTCTTTGGTTACTCAGGTAGCAATCCAGACCAGTGCTCTGCATGCTGGTGTGAAATGAAATGGTCACCTCCTTGTAGTGAAAGTGCATGCTGAAAATGGATGGTCAGAATTTTACGAACTTATTAAGTGTAATATCAAAATGTTTAGCTTTTGTGCATGAAACAAGCATATTTTAACATTGCGTTTTTTTTATCCCTAGAAACCCTAGAAACAAAGTAGATTGCATGTTCATGTAATGGTTACCATTTACATCAAAACAAGTACATGTCTTTAGTTTCCGAAACCTGAAATCGAAGTTTACTTAAAGTAAATTTCTTCATGGCTTGAGTCTCAACTTAATTTTGTTACATGTGTTTAACAGTTCTGGCCATCCTTTAAAAAATACAAAGTTTTATAACATAATTTAATCAATGTTTTCACACCATGTTTGCATGTTACTGGCTGCTAACTACCTCCACAGTAACTAAATACAGGTCTTCCCCCAAGTAGTTAACATTATTTTAATGTCAATCATGTCATTGTAGAATGCGCTGAGAATATGCCTCACTAATTGTTGTCATGAGACCTACAGGTTAGTACATGTAGGTGGAGGGAATTCCATACACAGACACCACTCATTTTTCCCTACAGTTACTTACTAGCTGTTTGAAAGCAATGATAAGACCTTAATAGTCAAATTTAGCAAGGAAAATATTGAAGTGTTCATGTAGAAAACACTTGGAATTTTTCATATCAGTCTCATAGGGTTTGTGTACAGGGTGTCAAGCAGTGTCTGAATATGGAACTCTTTCCTGGTAGGTTTGTATGCTTGACTTGAAGATGGTACACAACGATCATAAAATATCGAAAACAAGACTGCTCAATTATCTTTAAATAATGTAAATGAAAGTAAGTTAGTAACAGTGAGAGTCAGTCGGTGAAATCTTTCCATGCTTTATGGTGTTACTTTTGAATAAAACAAAATTTTGTACTTTTCCCAATGGTCGTTTGGATGCACAGTTGGTGGAAAATACAGTCTGTTCAAATCCCACAATTGTATGCCATGAATAAGCAATACATCGCAAGTGTTGATATTCAGCAGGCACTCAAACTAGTCTGGTATGTGCAGCTTTTGTAACAGTCTACACGAATAACAAGAAAGATCACAGGCTATTTAAATCAAGTGCATGTGACACCATTTCTTTGCCATTTTTTTATCCCTTGTTAATTGCTAGATGATGAGAGAGACAGAGATAACAGAAGTGGCACTTCTAGTCCAGTCATCGGTGCCAGTGTGACTGCTGAAGTACAAGAGCCAACTGAGGCTCTTATTGAATTGCAGGCCCAAGAACCTGTGGAATCAGTCGCCAAACCACCACCTAAACAGCCTTTATCACTTGCGTCCCGTAAGGCGTTCAATGTTGAAGAAGAGAGAAAGAGACTGGAGCGATGGCACGCTGAGCAGGAGAGGATTCGGCAGGAACAGTACGAACAGGAGCAGAGACGGCTTCGTGAGCAGCAGGAAAAAGACCTGGAGCGGGCAGAATCTGAAGAACGACGGAGGAAGATGGAAGAACAACAGAAGCTGATAGAGAAACAGCAGATACTACAAGAACAGGCTGCCGAGGAGAAGAGACGATTGGAGGAAGAACGCAAAGAGAGGGTGAAGAAGGAGCAGGAATACTTAGAGCGGGCGAGATTGGAGCGGGAAGCTGCGGAGAGAGAGAGATTGAAAGATGAGGAAGAGCAACGGAAGATGGCCGCTGAGAGGAAGAGGAGAGAAGAGGAACGGCTGAGGAAAGAGGAAGAAGAGCGACAGAGGAAAGGGGCAGAGAGGAGAAAGGCTGAGGAAGAGGAGCAGAGACAAAGAGAAGAGGAGGAGAGGCATCAGAGGGAGCTGGAACAACTGGAACAAGAAGCGGAAGAACGGAGGATTGCCATCAACAAATTACGGGAGAAAGAGGCCGAGGAGAGGGCACGAAGGAAAAAGGAAGAAGAAGCTAGGCTGGCTCGGGAGCAACAAGAAAAAGAAAAGGAGAGGTTTGCCCGACTGCGAGAGGAGGAGATTGAGCGCATCCGACGGGAGGAGAGAGAAAAACTTCGGAAGGAATGGGAGGAACTGCAGAGAGAGAAAGCAAAGCAAGAGGAGAGGGAACGAGCAGAGCGGGAGAGGTTGGAGCAACTCAGAGCCGAGCAAGAGCGGTTACGACAGGAACGCATCAAGCTAGAAAAGCAACAAGAAGAGGAACGACTTCAACTGCTTAGGGAGAAGGAACGCTTATTGGAACAGTCGACCAGTACCAAGCTTGATGCTGACAAAATCCCATACAACAAACAGGATAGGGACCGAGGATCTAAAAGCCCAGATGTCATTGGCAAAAACAATCGATCTGAGGAACATGAAGTCCCAGTCAAAGAGGAAATAATTGTGAGTCAAGAGGAGACTGATGTACACAGTGCTCCTCCTTCAAAGCCTCACGATTCCTTCAAGGTCCCTGGGCAAGGTTATATGTCACAGTTCAAAGGTCAGCATCATAAAACTGTAGTTGGCACAGCAAAACCTTTATTTTACATTTATGCAGTATTTTGTCCATATTATAATTGACAGTAAATTATAATTGAACATGTCAATTATAATTTAAAGTAGCCACAAGTCAGTATATTGCTTGGCAAAAATACATTTCCAATTGCTTTGAAAACACTAAATAACAAACATGTTTTCATGCACTTGAACATACCCAAAGCAGCACACTGCTTAGCAATTCTAAATGCCGAGGATTAACTTTACAGCATTTTTCATGGGTGTAGCCCTTTGTATCAGTCACTTGTCATGCCCAGCCCCCCAAACAGAAATGTAGGTGTGATTTTCTGTCATTTTGTTTTCATATTTTTTTGAACAGATGGTAGAATGGCAACTCAGCATTGGATGGTTGAAGAAGCTGAACGGAGACGACTGGCGGAAAAAACTGGCACGACCCGTCTTCACGATCCTGTTGAAGTTCACAATGATCCTATCCTCAGGAAAGATCTCGACATGGAACCAGTACTGGAGAAGAAGAACTATGCCCCAGAACACGTGGCCCCGGTACGCCACATGGACAAGCCAGCCAATCAAGAACCAGTGGGGAAGACAAGAGACCACAATAGGCAGCCACCTCCATCATCGCAGAACTCCCAGAACCAAACCTACCGGGAACTCGCAGTTGATGTCCCTCCAGACTTTCAGCCAGCTCCCCGGAGATTGCGGGCACCGGAGATAGACGCAGAGAAGAAGAAGAAAATTCAAAATCGCCAGTCCATGCCCGACATGGGAAACCGTGTGCCGGACGTTGTCAGAAATGATGCATACACACCACCACCACCTCAAACCTCAGACAGGAACAGTGGACGCATGCCAGACAACTTTCTACAGGTAAGTTTGGCAAACACGTTGTGAGGTGTTGTAATATTCATCTGTTGTTGTACAAACTGAACTTGAAAAAAATCTTAGGTTTCCCATTCACAAGTTAACGTCATTGGGCCAAATAAGCCTAATAGTATGAAAGTTCATTCTTCAACAGACTCTAAAAGTGATCAGAATAAATACCTGTACTCACTGCTTTCTAGCATCTACTTTGTCTAGATTTTGTGAATTATCAATTTGTATGCCACAACTACCTGTATTTTCGTTAGAGTGCACTTCACCAATCTTTCTACTGACAAGGGATAGTTATCAGAAATAACCCAACTAAATGAAACTCAACAGACATTGATGAGTTTAGCTGCTCAGAAGGAGGCAGAAATGCAACGGTCTTTGGTTGACAACACCTGTGTTGTTGTCGACCTTCAGTGTCAGGAAGATGACCTCACCAGGTATTGACCTCATAATTTATGAGCCACATGCACATGCATAATTCATGCTATCTGGCTGAGGAAAGCACTCATTGGCTACTCCAGAGCAAGCCAACCTATGTGATTAATTAATTGCGCGGTTGGTTGTTAATTTGGATCCAAATAGTGAGGGTCACAATAATAACTGTTTTTCTTTCTGTTCCTGTTGCACACTTTCTTTTCTTTGTCATTTTGTACCTTTAACTACGTGTACCATACTTTGTCCTTTCTTTCTCTTTAAATCTCACTCTCGCCAACTGTCACATATTTCTTATCACCATGTTTTCTGCTTTTTTTTTAATGTGTACATGTATATACATGTATATCTCCACTCTGTTCTCTTCCATCTTCTGGCAAACCCTCTGTTCATCGTTTAACTTGTTTCATCACCTACTGTTCCATTTTTATCATTCTCTAATGTGCTTCTGCATCCTAATGTACCGGTATGTGCTTGTCTTCCCTCAATCATTTCCTGATTCCATTTCTTTCTATCTTTCTGTCCTCCTTCCTTATCTTTCCCCCCTCCAATTGTAACCCATCTCACCCCTTCCCCTTTTTCCCCCTCTCTTTCCCATCTCAGCAGCCTCAGCTCGGCCCCCCAGGTCGCACCTCCGCCTTTCAGCAACCTAGCAAAAAGCCTGCCCCCGGGCGTTCAGTCAGCGGCAAAGTCACCTGCAGCAACTGCAACAAATCCCTTGGCCGGGGGGCAGCCATGATAATTGAATCCCTGGGCCTTCATTTCCACATTGAGTGTTTCCGGGTGGGTAGATTGTTGAACCAACTCCATTAACAGTCTAATTCTTGCTCTTGAACTTTGTTAAACATCTCAGAAATTCCTGGGAACTTGCACACTTCCTTTTGGAAATGCGCTACATTACATGTTCCCAAAGAGAAGGTTTTCGAGTGAAATTAATTTTTTGGGTTTTGAGATATTTTCAGAAGTTCATGCTTTCTGTTCTGTAGTAAATCTCTTGAAGTAAAAGCCTGTACAGTTTGTTGCATTTGTTTTCTTTTCTTCATCTGTCTGTGAAGACAGCTGTAGATTCCATTTACATTTTGTGATGCATTTTACTTAAGCTTGCGATATCCTGTTGTAGATGCTTGAAAATACTGAAAGCATGAACTTTGAAAGCTATTGCATGTAAAAAGCACAGTTTATTCCAGTTTGAAAGCACTGAGGGGAAATTGTTTGAATTGACGCTGATTTCAAAAGCCAGTATCAACTAACATGACAGCATGATAGCTAACAAAAGCACATCCATGCACAGTGTAATGCATGCAAATTCTGAATGGTTCAGTCCTGACTTTATAATATGCAGTGTATTTTGCAATGTAATTTGCAATGTGTCTGTATTTTTTGCAAAGAGGAATGAAACAGTTTAGTGTTTCAAGTTAGGTTTTTTAGTTTTATGGAATTGGTAGGAAACTGACCTGTTGTTTTTTATTTATTTTTTTTAATTTAAATCATCCTTATTGAGGGTAACCCATCCAGCAGGAGCTGATCATTTTGGGCCCTCTCAAAAAAAACAAAAACAAAAACCCAAAACGCTGGTTTTACACAAAGTGAACAGAATATTCAGCATAGTAGTGAGGAACATTTACCCTCTGCAGAATGTATGTACTGCATATAAAGAAATTCTAGTAAATCTTCACAAATGAAAGGTCAGATATCCGTACTGAGAATATGGACCCAGTTTCATTACCTTCTGAGCAGGAAATATGACAGAGTTATTTTCTCAGAGAAAACAAATGGCAGTGAACCAGCCACAGTGTAATGGTACATTTAGTAATAGGCTGGTATCTCATTTCTGCTACTCGCACGTTTTGTGCATTTACCCTCGCTGTAAAACTGGTCCAAAGCAGAAACTGCTCTTTCATGGCTTTTTAAAGATCTGCTTGTGAAAATCTGATGGTGTTCTTTCAAAGTTATTGACAACTTGACATAGATGCCCAGATACAGGAATCTGACTTCAAAAGGTCTTACCTCTGACTCCCTTTAGTGCTGTGTATGCAACATCCAGCTTGGAAACGGAACACAAGGAACAGACGTACGAATACGAGCCTCAAAACTCCACTGTCAAAACTGCTACAGCAATGACGCAGGTAAGCATCATCTGCACACTTGCATCTTTGGGAAAAATTATTGGAGATGTTCTGTAGAGTTTGGGGGTGGTATTCATTGGGTCCTGAGTTGGCGTTACCAAACTGGAAAAAATATGGTCATCTGATCTTATATGGCCACCTGTTTTACTGACTGTGTCCCAGAAGTAAAGATCAGAACTAAGTAATGTATGGCTTTGGCCCATTAATGTTGTGTCTAAACAGTGTCTAATCCCCAATGGATTCAAAATAACCACTACAGTAGTTTTACCCCAGTTACAGTCTGTATGCTGATGAATGTGTAGTCTTGGTTGCAAGATGCTGTTAGTGGTGCAGTGTTTCAGCGCACCGGTACATGGTCATTGGGCTGTCCAACAATTTACTGAAGTGGATGCCCTGTACTGTACACACAAGTTGGAGCTGTAAAGGACATCTTGGGAATCTTGTATTTCTGTTCAAGAAATTCAGAGCTTATCGGGGTGTGTGTGTTTGCATATGTGCATTGTTGAATGCATCATTACATGACACTTGTCAATCATGTAGCCTAGCTCCTGTGCTCACATGGTACATGCAATTTCCAACTCCCAACATTTCCAACAAATATGATGCAAATCATACCCTCTTTTGCCTGGACATTTTCATTATTTTTTCTTGTTTTGTTGATTTTTTGTGGTCTGACAACTTACAAATCGGGACAGTTCCGATTAAATCGGAATGGTTGGTAGGCATGTGTGCCTGCCACATGTAACACTTTTAGCAAAGTACCCAGACTAGTCAGCTTGTAACAGAACAAACCCATGGATTGCTTCCAGGGTACCAGCTCTACTATTCTTGTGAACCTCCTTATTGAATTATAAATATTCATGTAGGTTTGGTACCGTTGTATGCAAAATTCCCAAGGTGTCGTTTGTGGCCCTGATTTGTGTGTACAGGGTGCCCATTTCAGTCCATCAACGGCTGTTCGTGTTGAAACAAGGCATTGCTATGGGCGTCTAACAACCAATGTAGAACAGGTTTGGTGATAATGGCAAAAATTCATAACCTCAGCTAAAATGAGTGGTAGCTATAAACTGAGTTTTGCATCTCATTGCATTGCAGGATTTGAGTTCACAGAAGTCTGACATGGAGGAAGAAGCTAAATAGGCATCTGAAGTATGGTCCAAGCAACTTCCAATCTCTGCAGTGATGACATCTTTAGACAAGGTGTACAGTTCAAGCAAGTGGTGGTCTTTCCAACGTATCTCTGTCCTTTGTTTACAGTCCAGGTGACTCCTGTGTAGACCGTGTCCCTGCTCAACAGCGACAGGCATTTTGAAGACCATTACTGCCCTATGCCCAGTGCCCTTGGAATCGTGCTGTAGAGTTTTGTGCATTTGAGATGAAACTTGGCTGTGCATACCTTCTGCTGTAACAGCCAATTTTAGCCAACATTTTTAATGTTATCCTGACATGTTGCTGTTTTTATTTCCATACCTCATACTCATTCATGATTGAAACTCCATTCGTCAACATGCCTCAGTCACTTTTGTTGCTGTCCACAAGGGGCCCATTTGAGAAAAGTCAAATGCATAAGCGTAGTGTACTACGCATGTGCTTTATAAAGCTAACATAGAATTGTTGTCTGGGAGTAGTAGGCACACCATAGCTGCACATAGAATTATGGTAGATGGATGCAAATGTTGATCAGCATTTTAAAATATGCCTGATATTGTAATGGCAACTGAATATGTATGAGGCATGCCACAAGTATGAAATAGTTTATACCAGGTGGATGGTTGATGTCAGCTCAACTTGGTGGAGAGTACCGAAGTGAATACGTCGCATGCACAATTCCGCGTGTAAGAGCCATTAGAACCAGCTTGTGAACCAATCGACATGTAGTCTTTTTTTTTTTTTTTTTGCATTACACTTCCTGGTTCGAACTGACGTCACACTTCAGCATTCTGTTGAAAGTTGAGAAACTTGGTTCCCTTGGCTTTGCCTCAAAGCTACTATTCACCCACAGATTTGTATACCGAGGTGCACCACTTTCGAATTGCAATGCTAATGGTGTTCATCCGAAGGATCAACCACCTGACCTTTTGTGTTTACTTTTTTTTACAACTTTTTGCTTTACTTGATTTTATAGCCTTAGATTTTTTTATGAATAGCACTAAGTAATATGGCTCTGATCTTCAAATGGCAGGTTTTTGCAAGGTTCCGTTTACTGACTAGATACTAGTAATCAGTTGGATCAATTATTTTCAACTTTTATTCAGTATTTCATGTAAAGTAAGTAAAACAAATCATGCTCGACTCTAGGTTAGCAAAGTTGTAAAATAAAAAAGCTGCAAAGATATTTTCCTGATTAAAGTCCATATTTTGATACAGTGGTACTTATTCCTACAGTAGGAATAGAAGTTGATGAAAATTTGAAAGCGGAGTTAGTATTGTTTAGATGTGAGATCTCATTTGTTGATCCTTCTGTTGTGTTGAAAATGTTAAGTAACCAGTCTAGTACAGTAACATATTGGTCAGACAGCCTCCATTTTCTCTGCCAGCAACAAAAACTGCTGATGAGAAAGTTTGTAAACAAGGTGAAGTCAAAAGTCGACCCAAACCAGTGTGTAAGTCTCAGTATTTCTGTGGATAGCTATGTAGACAAAGCTATGTGGAAATTTAATTTTTCAGTTTAAAGGGAAATCATAACACCAGCATTATGTATTAAAATGAGCGGGCCTGCCTGTTGTAATTGTCAGCTCTGGCAAATGTTTATACTCGTTTGTATTCTCGTCTGTATTAAGATGTAATTTCTGTTGAATACAGTGGCTACCCTAGGTAGAAAATCACCCAAACAAGGAAGTGTTAAAGCCATGTTGGAAATATAGAGAAAATAGTGGTTACCTGTAATTATGTTGGGTGAGGGAAAAATTGAAACTCATTTAGTTTAAAATCTGTAAATATTTCAGTTGGTCATATGACTGAATAAAATTCACAATTATGTTAATTTCTTCCAGAAGAATGTCAAACAGATAAAGTAAGGCTTAGTTTTTTGTATTGCTCAAGTTGGTATTAATTTTTAACAAAGAAACTAATGGTGGTTTTAAAAAAAGTTCTCATAGCTTTGATCAAAATAAGTGAAAATGCATCAAGAAGTGGTACAAACATAGGCTAATATGTACAAAGTTGTTAATTTAAAAAAAATTCATTTTCTAAACCATAAAATAAGTGTCATCAGTGTACTTGAAGTTAGTTCATTATTTAATTGACCCAAGTGTAAGCGTACTTGCTGTATATGGGAAATCAGATATAGACGTTAGCTGTTTTGGTTAATAAACAGAACTTATATGTATGACTTCACCTAGTTGAAATGCATTATCATAAACTAAGCTCACAAGTAGCCATTACTCCAGTGGCAGCTGATCTTCATGTACTCTCTCAAAACTTGAAACAAAATTATGACAAATTTTCATGAGATTGGTAACTTGATCAGGAGTTTACAATCCTGGCGTTTTCCAGTGGTTTCAAAATCAGTAGGTTTTTACCGGAAACCCAATGTTTTAAATGTTTCAAATTGTGAAAAAAATTGGAAAAAACTTGATCAGGAGTTTACAATCCTGGCGTTTTCCAGTGGTTTCAAAATCAGTAGGTTTTTACCGGAAACCCAATGTTTTAAATGTTTCAAATTGTGAAAAAAATTGTGAAATGGACCAAAAATGTTCCGAGACTTTCAAAACCAACCCAGCATTGTGTATTAAGATGGGGATGCCACACCAAAACATTTTTACTTGTAGTTCTGTCATGTTCCAGTGATACCTATAGTTGTAAATCATAAAAAAACAGGTGGTTTTGTCATACCCTGAAGTTTCCTTAGTCTCAACTCCCCGTTAACATTGAGGTTTATGAATGCACATTTATGAAAACGTAACATCACAAAGTGAACATCATGTATCTTCAGGTGCCGTATTTTGCTGCATGAGATTTTACTGTTTGAAGTAGTTCTAAAATGGGATTTGTATTCACACCTTTGCCTGTCTGCCTTCCAAATCAGAAATCACTATTTTAATATTTTAACAAATTCATCTAAAAACATTGTGTACAGAATGCGGTTGTGTATATTTTTTGGATTTGTAACTGGAATAAACATCACATCTGCTTACTATCATTCATGGAGTACATTCTTACAACGGCTTTGTCATAGATGAGTTTAGCTGTTAAATGACATCGAATTTGAAGGAATGATTTGAAATATTTGAATTGTTCAAATACAAATGGACATCATGTCCAAATTGGACTAGTAACCAACATTTTGGCTTGGATATTCAGACTGGTACAATTTCTACACAGTACACATTGTCATCTCTACAACCAACAATAACACAATCCCAGTGTGCAACGGGTGATGAGAAGACTTCACCAGGTAGTCTACAGGAAGCGATGACCTCTCCCGACTTCAGGTCAAGGATTACCAAGGACCCTTCAGTAGAACATGTGGCCACAAATTGATTACCTTTACAGCCATGGTTTTTGTTTGGATTTTTACAGAGATCTGACTTAACACAATGCTTTCCATATTCACAAGGTACATGTAATGTTAGTGAGTCGTCAAGTAAATCTCCTGAGCTGTGAAGTTCTGTTTGTGAGTTACAAAACAGCTTGGGAATAGATTTCACTGTCCTCTTAGTGTGACCTTCATCCTTGAAGAGTGCCTTGCACCTTGAGCAACTATCGTGCAATGCAAGATGGCTGAGACGCTGACTGTGAAAAATGAAAGGCGAGGCGTAGACAGCAGCTGGCATTCTGTGCTTCCAGAGTAGTTGGCCTGTCTTTAGGGACAGGCAGTAGACATGGTGATCATGTGACCCAAAGACCACACAGGAGTCTACTGTAGAGGGACGGATGGCTTGATGGGTGACTTTGAGGGTTACTGGAGACTGCGTGACGGATGAGACGCAAGGTGAAGAGAAGATGGAAGCATCGGTGCTGAATCTCCACAGCTGCAATGATGCAAATTATCGATTCAAGTTCTTTTCAGAATGCCTCAAGACAAGTGACGGAGGACAACCACCAGTCAACATCATTACAACCGTGTCATAAAATTCCAGCGTAAGCTTCTGTGCCACACAGAAAACTTTAAGGTTTCCATGTTGGAAATCACCAAGTAACAAAGTTTACAGCAGCACAAAAACACATGTTAATCATTAGGGCACCTACTGAGAACCACTTCACCTCTGAAAGAAATAGCTGTCCAGCTACTGTAACTTTGATATTTTGTTAACTTGACTGTCCCACCTCTTTTCCACTGTGGCTGACGCAGTACAAGTGGCCATCCACACAGCCGAACACAATGCCATCTTGTGAGACCATCGGCGATGAGAAGACTGGCTTACTGCAGCTGTAACTCCATGTTTTTGCACCTGTGTCCTTTAAAATAAAGATAATCTCATTAAAATAAAGACAAATCATTGTCTGTTTGCAATTATCAATCTGTATTAAGAGGTATTACATCAACACAGATGGGTTGGATTTGAGCTCCACCAGTTCAGATCAATGAATATTTAACCACAGGCTTTAAAGAAGCAGTACAGTGGAACACTCTTATAAACAAGGTCCATGGGACTTCACCAATTACCTTGTTATAATAGTTACCTTGTATTATCAGTCATGCAAACGAAGAAAAACAAAGACTTGGGACCTAAAACTATCCTTGAAATAGTCATGCTGTATAGCTTGAAATCCCCCAAACTATCCTTGTTATAAACGTGACTTTGTATTAACAGTGCTCTTCTTATGTGTGTTTGACTGTACTGCTGGAAAGGCCAACTCCGTTTTTTTGATGTACAAATACATCATTCAAATCCTGAAACAGTTCTATCAATTGTATACATTACTTTATGGTAACCCTTGAGGTTCACAACGCCTCCACCAATTCAGCGGATATGCACTGATTGTTATAGATACACAGATTACCAGCCAACCCAGGATGTAGTGTACAGCATGACTGGTGTTCTGCTGCTCCTTATTAAGTGCATTCTGCAAAGCTCACTGGAGGTGGATCGTGTAGGAGTGAGTACCTTATTGACAGCAAGAAGCAAACCCGAAAGTGTCGTCACATAAACCGTGGCTGATGGGTAATGGACGACAGGGGACGAAAACACTGAACCACCACCACAATGTACATGCCACTTGCAGCTCTGCTCCTACAGAGGTAACAAAGTAAAACAGGTGGATCAGTAAACTGTCTTTAACAAATTAGCATCTTGAGTGATGATGTGGCGTTTTCAAGAGAGATCCTATTTCTACCATGTACGTTTGGTTTATGTGAGCGGCATTTTTATGATGGCAAAAGCAATCCTCTAAACTCAAGAACTACACAAATTCTACATTTCCTAATACATGTCCTATGTCCTTGTACATGAGAGACTCAAGTACACTAGATTGACCCAACACAGGAATGCGATTGGACACGCAGGGCCATGACCCTCTCTGTCCCTTTGTGATCCTGTATTTTAATCAGTGGTTTCACCACTAGTTCAACACTGAATGGTCATTAACTGCACCAGTAACAGTAAGCTCCCTAGAGAGGAATTAAGTCAGAGAAAACTTTACAGAATTTTGTTGTAAATGCAGGACAGGGAAAAGCTTTCACTAGATCATACAAACATGCATGTAAATTTCTTTCTGTGTGACACTACATAATTTTTTAGAATGTTGGATTATTTAATAACCACTTGCTGCCGGGGAACCCTGTTTTGAGCACCATGGGTTTATACGCAGAGCCGGGCTGTCCGAAATCAGACAAAAGAGCTGGTCTGTGGAACAAAAGACAGTACTCGGAACAAAAGACCTGCTGCTGGGAACTGCCAGCATTTTCTGGCTTGTATTTTTCGAAGGTAATCCACTGCTTTGGGCATAGCGCGCCCACGGATTAGCACCGCGGACAGAAGCCCTCCAGGGCCCCATTGATGAGCAACACAGTACCGCTGCATTCTAATCCAGCCACTTTTGAAAAGAGGCCACTCACATTCACTGGGAACAAAGGAAATTACACAACACCTCAAAATTCTGGGCTCTCTTTACAGGGCGGCAGACCTGGCTTAAATACTCAGGAGTCAATGGTGGTTGCCAGTCAGCTTAGAGTAGCCACCAAACAGGTTTAAATGTCCACTAAATGAAATGATGAATTTTTGAAGAATTTTGAAAACTTAAAATTTTGAAAATGGTCCGTATGTGTGTACTGCATTTTTAAAAGCACCCGGCAGCAAGTGGTTAATAAGCACGTGAAAATGTTAAGGAGCCCCTACATCAATGTCCAAGGCATAAAGATGCTGATCATGTGATCCAACATAGACCATGGAAGATCTGTCATCCGGCACGGGAGAGCTCTTGATTGGCCCATTTGTTTGGAATTTCCAGCAGACTGTCCCAGATGCAGCATCCAAAATGTAAAGCTGGTTGTCATAGCAACCTGAAACAATAACCAGATTATTGGTCAGTTGTATGTCTAGACTAAATAAGGACTATTACCCTCAAAGCATTTGAGTTTGACCTACCCACAATCACTTTTGTGCCACAAGTGCTCAGGCATGCTGATGATTCCACTCGGTCACCTAACTGAGTCACCCACAATGCCTTGCCAGTTTCCATAGAAATAGCTGCAAACTTGCAAGAGTGGGAACCGATGTAGATGATTGTTTCTGACCTATTAAAAACAAAACAGAAGTTGATGGTTCAATTAGATTTCATTCTCAATAACTATTTTATGCATAGTTACTTGCAAGTTTTTTGGCAAGACTTGGAAAATTTTGTTCTTACCAGGAAGTTTTGACAAGCAATGGTGAAGCATCAACACACTTCCCAGTGTCATACCTCCACCTCAGCTGAAGATTGACGCTTTTTTCAAGGTGAAAATTACTCATCGGGTTGTCTCTGGCAACCAATCTACCACTTCCGTCACTTTGAATTTTAGGCACAAAGCTGGCACCGAATTCCTTTCTTTGTCTGCCAATCACAAGCTGAGAACATCTCCGCAAAACAATAAAGTCTGTAGCATTTGGAGGATCTTCTGTTGAATTCTTGGTCACTTCTTGCACACCGATGGTGTCTGGCATTTCATGGCTGCTTACACAATATTTCTCTGCAGCTTTTGGGAAAAACGCTTCACTTTCAGAATCCACTGCAAGTATCTGCAACTGATTGTTCTCCAACAACTCTGGTCTCTCGGAATTAATTTTGAACTTGTTCTCCGCTGCAGAGGTGTCTTTGATACTATTCTGAAGAGAAGTTTTTCTTCTCTTTGATGGTTTTTCAAGTTGGCCCTCTGTTGTTGCAACTGAGCAGCTCTGGATATGTTTCAGGACATGTCTAAAGGTCTTGTGGAGTATGATGTCAAGAAGATGAGGCATGGGTCTTCCAGTCCATAATTCTATTGCGTCTACAAGCTGCACTGCTTGAAATGAATCGCCACTGCCGTGTAGAATGAAAGAGCTACTGTCTTCAGGGTCAACTGACGAGGGTGCAGCTTTCTGTCAGAAAATCAGCAGAATTTTAGGATAATTGATTGCACTATCTGGGACAAAATAAAAAAGGACACATTTTGTTGTAGACAAATGCCTCAGTTCTTTGGGGAGTTTAAGTTTCTTTACACCTAAGGGTTGACAGTGATGTACAAATGTATGCAGCATACTCAAGATAGCAAAGTTTGAATGGCTCCTTACTTCACAAAATAGAAAAGGCAATATTGTTAGCATCCTTTGCAAAAATGTACATAAATTGAAATGCTAAAACAACCATGACCGAGTCCACACCATGACGGAGTAGTCCAGTACAACTTTCCAATTCTTACTTTTGAAGACTTTGTAAATGGCTCTCAAGTCCCAATTGAATCATTTTTGTTTGTTATTTTCGAAAATGAATAACATTTCCCATCAAAATTCACTCTATCCCCAATCTCAGAAATCTTGCTTACCGTTCAACAAACAACCACCACCTAATCCATTTTGATGTAGAATCCCATCTTTACATGATCATCTCAGTATATTATTTTACCTTCCATAGGATCACCAGATCCTTTCTCAGCATTCCCTCTTTTGTGGGCGGGTCCTGGACCTCCCTCTTAGGCCTACCCATCTCTGTGGCATGCCTGAGTAATGCTCTATGATCAACCTTCCCGTGCAGTGTTAATGGAAACCTCTCCAAGAAGTAGATCGTGTCTGGCAAACAGTGGGAGGGGAGTACGTCTTTCAGCAAACTCTGGAGAGAGTCTTCATCCCCAATGGACAGTGATTGATTTGAGAGTTGGACAAGCAAACCTGGAATGCAAAACAGGAGGAGTTTCCCTTGGGATGTTTGAAGGATTTCGCAGGATTCTATCACCGGAAGAGCTTCAATCCTCTGGACACACAGAGCAGAACAAGAAAGATGTTACATGGAAACTGATTTCCATCTGTGTGATAACTGGAAGGTTGGGAACTTAGTTTTTGTGGATGATATATGCAGTAGTTTTGTCAACAGCTTTAAGAAAAACAAACTTGCAAGATAATCTAACTTTGGGTGAGTGGGAGGTTAGATTATACATGTAATGCATGATGGGTTACTGACCAAAGAAATAAGCCAACAAAGTCTAAATATCAAGAAGTTTCTCTTCAAACGAAGCTTTAAAATAACTTGGCAAACAGTGACTTCTTACAACTAAATTTCTAAGACATATCAAGGCCATACATTTTTTTTCTGAAGTTGAAATTCTTTTCAGTTGACTGTTTCTCACCTGTTTCACTTGCATCAGACTGACTCTGATACCATTTCGCTTGATATGGTCGCTATGGCGACCAACAAAGATCAAGCCTCTATCGGTGATACGGACCCGATCTTCTGTTGATCTCATCACACCCCTCTCGTCACCCACTGGTACAGGCCAAGTCTCATCATTCAACAAGCAAACCCTGGTGTTGCTTCCTTAGGGATGTGCAATAATAAGGCATAGAAGTAGGCACAAGAAGATCCATAAACAATAAGCACAGTAGCAGCAGAGGTCTGTTATATCTTTAGTGGTGAGAGAATTGATGAATTCTTCACGGGGCCAATTTTATCATGATAAATTGATTAGAATGTGATTGCTCTTCCAAGAACTATGTAAAATAATAAATGTCTCTGTTTCAGGTTTATGCTTCAAGGATAGTTCTGCCTATTCCTCACATTTAGGTCTAAGTTAAATGTGATTTTAAAGGACCATTAGGCTTGGCACTAGTTTGTGTCTCACTGAAATGTCAACGAAAAACTAACACAAGCCATCCACAATACACAAATGGCAATGTTACAGTGAATAGACTCGCTCACCAATGAAAAGCTGGCCTTCTCCATCTGTGATTGTTTGCCCGTCCTCATTTCTCACCTCCAGTGTGGTTTCCAAAAGGGGCTCGCCTAAAGGAATGCTGACCAAGAAGAAATTTATCAGCAAGATTTTTTAATCTTGCTGATGAATTACTGATAAAAGGATAAGAAGGGCTAAACAGGCAAGAGTGGGCAACTATACTATTATAACTCTCAGACAGCCAATGAAACAACAGACTGGTGACCTGACCTCACTGAATGAGCTTCTGAGACTTGCCATATCTTTTTTTCACATCTATGTTCTGACTTGCCCAACTCACAAGGAACAGCTGACTTAATATACAGAGAACTGAAACTTCTAAAAATTAGATCAAACTGGCTTACAGGTAGACAAGTTCACTCATTATGACTAAACTGTATGTTAATGCTTATTACCATACATTAAAGCTAGAGCCAGAGGGATCCTAAAGGAGCTCGTCTTTCTCTAACTTGTTCACTGTGTATACTCGTACTTGTTTATCAAAGGTGAACCCTTTTGAAAAGCTATGGTTTCATATTAAAAAACTGTCAAAACCAAAGTTCACTGACATACACGCACAGAGGTAAAATTCTGACATAAACAAAAACTGTATGCCACATTGATACCTTCTGTGATAATCTTCCATGTCACACTGTGTGTCAATGTGATAACATGATGCCCAACTTGACACTTCAGTTATACCGTAGAGGTTGTAGAACTTTGTGATATTATCTGCTGCCCTCATGTGGTTGATCTGAGCAACTGTAGGGCAGATCTCCCCACCGAATGCCAGGACACGTATGCTTGATGTTGAAGCGAGGAGATTTTGACGAACTTGGTCCGTCCCAAATCGGCCGACGAGGGTTGGTGTAGCCTGGTCAGATGAAAGTATGGGGTCATTTTTGGCAAGCCATAAAAAGTTGAAATCAATTTTTGAGTTGACTTGGTGTAATCAAATTACTACGGCAGAATTGTAATGACTGAATCAGTTGACTTTATTAAGTCTACTGTTTCCCATCTTATTGTATCTCATGGTTGTTCACTTCTGCAGACTTCAAACAGCTCTTCCCATCCTGCAGTATGATGCATTCTTTTAATAACACTTTGGCCAGTTATGTTTGAATAAAATCTGGTACACTGAGTTATCTGATTCCCTCGACCAAAGACACTGTTGCTATACCTCCTGATTAAGGGCAAGCTTTGGCATAGCGACCACCATCTCTAGAATGGACTGGTTCCTTTGTGCCCTTCTTATCCATTGAAAACAGTGTATTGGTGCAAGGCATCTCTTACGTAACTTGGTGAAAGCTTTCCCCGCATCACGAAGTATAGCAACAGTGTCTTTAGTATGGCAAATTCAAATTGTTATGATCATGTTAAAGACCTCAGACTTTAAAGGCTATTGTACTGAGTACACTCAAGCATGAATTAGGTATAAGATGTCCTGGCAAGGAATGACCAGTGTTATTCTTTCTTGTGTCTCTGCTCACTGCACCAGCCTGGTTTATTTTGGCTTGCCATGTGGTCTCTACTAGGACGTGTCTCAGGTACGTATAGAGAGCAGTTGGAGGAGTTTATGCACAGTACCAGTGCCGGGAATGACCAACACTCGGTGGATGCCTGAACAGGGTATAATAATTTCTTAAAATATATTTTATATATTAAATATATAAATAGATTGTGTTGAATTTAATGGAGTTCAATTGTTATTGTTAATTCATTGAACATTTTAGACTCAATGCCAAATGTAACTGTAAATGGTCACCTGCATTGTTGGGAAATACTGGATTTAAGATGCCACTTGACACCCTGTGCACAAACCTTACAAGACTGGTCTGAAAATGTGTTTTCTCAGTAAACAACTTGGTACTTTCCCTCCTGATGTTTAACTTTTCAGGATATGTTTTGCTTTCTGATTGCTAATAGGTCACTGTAGGGAATAATTATGGCATCCATATATGGTACTTATGGGATTTATTTATTCTCTTACAGGTTACACCCTGCTTCCTAAAAACAAACTGGGGTAATACCTTCTGGGTACATGTAGTTCCTTGTCTTAGTTTCAAGTGCTAACTTTTTGCTGTGATGTTTCATTATGTGTCAGTGTAAAAATAATCCTCGTATTTAGTTTATTGTATTTGATGGAATTTTCTTTATTTACTCCAATGGCTTGAGCCTAATATAAATATGAACAATTTAAATTTAGTTGAAACTTTCAAAAAGTGTTTCACAAGCACTCCTCTTTTTTTGCCGGGATACGTTTTTCCTGGTGGCCAAATCCCAGTTTGTTTTTAAATGTTTCTTCCACTGTTTTTTTCAGACAACACACAGGGGTCATACAGTCTAAAGGCTTGACCTGAATATCTTTGTACAGTTGCAGAGTACATGTAACTCTATCTGACTCAATCATGAATATTCTTTCTACTTTGTACATCAACATCAATCTTGCAGAGTTTCACTGAACATTCTCAATGGCCTCCTTTCCCAAAAAGCTTTGTGCTGGGGTCTGTATGGATGAGCTGACAGAGGCCCTGTACAGTAGTTACAGCAATGCTTACCGCCATTGGTGGGGGCCACTGCAACTGCCATGGTCGTGGTATTAATTCATATCCCAACTGCCAGGACTAAGAAATGCCCTCTCACAGCAGCATGATTTTAAACCATTTTCTTATCATGCTACTGATTTTTTAACAGCACATGGTCTCATGTATCAGATTACAAAAACCACCTTTTCCTTGTGCAAAAAACCTATTTAGTTCAGTTCAATTCCACTGCACAGGTCTTCAACTACTACTATGATTTAATTGATAAGGTTATAACATATCATATGACTACATGTAGTACACTTATTAGCATATTACTATTACAATAGTTCCTTTGTTTCAAAACAAACTGATTCAATTGAGGTCAGTTCGTGGCTTTCATTGACAAGATTATCAAGTGCATGCTCTATGTAACTAGCTGACATACCTGCAACACAGATACTTGATTTCTCAAGAGAACGTCCAGAAGTGTCCTGGGTATCATCTTGATTGAGTCAGGGACTAAGACCAGACATGCCCCTTTGGACAAGGCAAGAAAAATAGTCACGATGCTGGGGTCAAAGGTCAAAGCTGAAGCGACAAAGATAACATCTTCTGGGCTGATGTCAAAACTTTCACTGTAAAAAGAACACAAGAATAAATTTTTCATTGTCGATGTTGCTTTGACATGATAAGTGTGACTACTCATATTAAACTTATTTAAATTTTTGTCTAATACCATTTTACATGTTACATATGTCAACGTAAAAGTTGAAAAAATGTGAAAAAAATGCCTGAAAAATAATACTCCCAAAGTCTCCCCCCAGAAAAATACCTTAAATGGGTAATATTTGGCACAATGCACTGATGTGGAACACGTACAATCTTGGGCCAGCCAGTCGTTCCAGAAGTATGCATGACAAAGGCGATATGGACAGCAGGTGACTGGGCCAGAGTGTGAGGTTTCTTATTGGTTGACAGCTTGACCAATTGGAAGCCGATTCCACTTGGAAGAGACCAGTCATCTGTTGTATGTGCATCATAGGCTTTACCGTAACTAAAAATGAAATCCTACAATCAGAAATAAAAAATAGTAATTGAATCAGTAGAATGCTAAATATGAGGGGCTAGTCAAAAAACAATTAAATCTTACACAAGTCTCAGTTAAAAGTTGACTTCAAGGTAAAAAGAAGGCCAAACTAGAAGTACAGCTTTTTGTAATGAAATTTTTCAAATTTTCACAATAAAGTCTTTTAATTTGAAATGTGTTAATAGTCTCAGTGACACTTACCTTTGCTAAAGACTTTGAGACAAAAATCCATGACAGACCTTGGGATGTCATCAAATATTCATTCATGTCGCGAGGTGCTCTCGGGTCAATTGGGAAAAATGTAGCATCAACCTGAAGAATTCTGGCATACGACAAAAGAAAGCCAGATTGTATACCCATATTCAGCTTGAATTAAAACAATGAATTGACACCTTCAATTTCAAATTACGAATTTCAAAAGTCTGTTGCTATGTTCAAAATGATTTATCCCTATATGACAACTCTGAGGATTTGCCATCATTCTTCAAAAGATCATCACAACTTTATTTCTCGTTGATTCTGGACACAGAAATTGTTCAAAATCAACCTTTAAATGAAATTGTTCCTTGGATGAAAATACAGAACTAACAACAAAAAAGTCAGCCTCTGTGTTGATGTGTAAGGAAAACACAGTAAGGCATATCATCAGTTTCTTTGAATTTCATGAAACACTTGATGGAATGAACTCATCTGCCAACTCATATTTAAAATTAGCTTGACCTATCCATAGCAGCAAGTTTCTCCTGATGTAATGTGATCCAGTCCTCAGATGTAAGCATGTATGAATGTTGTTGTTTGGGGGCAACCCACTTTTGATCTATTGGAATGACATCACAGCCAAAATGGACTTTTTTAACCACAAGATTGGATTGAACTCCAAACTTTACATAAACACATTAACTGAATTGCCCCTTGTTGCCGAGACTGGACTTGCAGCCTACGGCTACATCCAAATTAATGTACCGCTACGTGTATGTCAATTGTTGGCATACACGAACAGGTGTCCATGCATTTGAAACCAAAGATGAGTTCAATCTAATTCTACTCTCACATGGTGTGAATCCACAAGCAGTTTTATTTAAATCAACCATTGGTTCAAAACAAACATATCTAGACTTTCTGTCCTCTATTTATAAAATGAGCGGCAGAAAAGGCTCTTGTTGATCTTTTCCATGCGGAACATTAGAAAATGCAACCAAAAAGGATGGTGTGCATTATCAGTGCCAGGTCCCTTTTATGGTGTTGCAACAAAAATTTAGCCCTAGCCTAGTCAGTCCAGAGCCACCTTGTACATGTATGTGGTGTTTGAGAACCTGGATAGTGCTGCTGGTTCACATGGCTGCACGAGGTGGCTGCATGAGTGTGTACCACAGGACTGTCAATTTCACTTCAAGACACGCTTTCTTTTGTTCCTGCTCGGAGCGGATACCATGGAACTTCACAATTTGTGTCTAAGGGCGGCATGCCAGCAATGAGATTCAAGGTGGAGACACAAAATGAAAGTCGGGGAACTCGATTCCGAAACGGCGTAACAACTTTGAGGAGTTGCCATCCTTCAAAAGATCATCACACCTGTATAAAAGTTGCTTTTATTTTTGAAGTCATGCTCTACACATCAACTGTAACTATGGAGACTATATCACACGAGAGAATAAACACCACTGTGAATTCTACAGAGGATGCCATTTCAGCAGAAAGTGAGCAATCAGCATTTGCAATTTTTCTCTGCATCTCCATGACACTTACAATTCTCCTGAGCTATCTACTGAATCCACTGATGCTTTTCACCTTACGTCGAGTCACCAGTATCCAGCCTACAACCAAAATATGCATGGTTTCTCTCACCATGGCTGATCTTATATTTGCAACTGTCAGAACCTTTGATTTACTGGAACTGTTTGCTGTGAGATGGTTGCTAGGGGACTTTCCCTGCCTAGTGCATGGTGTGACAAGCAATGTGTCAGGCTTCATGTCTATTTTCTCCATTTTACTTCTGACGCTAGACCGATATGTCACCATTCTATATCCTTTGAGGTATTCTACAGTTGTGACAGAATTAAGAACCAAGATTTTGGCATGTGCGATGTGGGTCATCAGCACAGCATTTGTTGTTTGTTTGTTTGCTGTTAATCCTAAACACACAATATGTGATGGCCCACATCAGCTTTGTAGTTGGGAGCCTTTGGCTTGGATTAAATATTTCATTACTGGCATAATATCACTTACGCTTGCTACCATATTCGTCCTTTATCTCCACATATTCTTGATAGCTCATAAACAAGCTCGACGCATAGCTGTTGACCAAGCAGGCAATGGCCAAGGTGGGCAGAGGATTAACACTAGGTGCATCACCACCATCATCATCATAACAGGGACCCTAGTCATTACTTGGACGCCCACCGCAGTTCGGATTATGATACAGTCAACAAAACAAAAAGCTTCGGAGCAAGAAATATACACAGCTTTCTTATTTACCAATATGACACTTATTCTGCAGATATCTAACAGCTGGATCAACGTTGTTATTTATTACCTGAGGAACAAGGAATTCCGCCAAGCATTACAGGGTTTACTAGCAGAGTGGCGACAAAGACTGTCCTAGAGATCTTAACCACATAAGCATTCACTGAACAGCTACAACCGTGGAAGGAAAAGTAATGTATACTGGTTCATGTACAGTATCTTCAATGCTGTTCTTTGAATTTCATGTAACACTTCATGAATAGTTTTGTCTGTGGTCTACCAACTCATTTCTAAAATCAGCTTGACCTAACCTAAGCAGCATGAGGCTCTGTCAGGAAACTTAACTGATGTGGTCTGATCCCGGCTATCAGATGTACCTGTTGTAAGCATTCATCAATGCAGTCAAAGCACTGGTCTTGTTTGACCTGGATTGAAATGATGAAGTCCATCAACGATGTACATGTTTGGGAAACAGAATGAAAGTGGAAAGTTTTCTTCATGTGAATTTATTTTCAGCATTAGCCTACATTTATGTCCATGCGTTAGAAACCAAAGTTAAGACCTAAATCTCGTTCCAGAGTTACAAGTACATGATTTGGTCACAAGCAAGCGGGCTTACTCCAAGGAAGGCACAACTACCTGTTCAAGTTTCTACAGAGTAATCGGCCGATAAGAATTAGAAGCCATTACCGAGGACGACGCACCATGCTCATAAACAGGTGTACACACACACTGTACACGTACGGTACGTACATATGGATGTGCCCCATACGTAAAAGTGATTTATAGGGTGCTGTGATTTGCCAAAATGCACACACATCTTAACTTGCCGCCGCAGCAATCCTCATATTAGTCTCCAAGACAGAATTTAACTCAACTGTTGCATTCAAAGTCAATCTTTCCTAATAATTTTTATCTTTAGACAGTGGGTAACGTGAACAGTGGATAAGGCCCTTTCTCATCCTTTTTCTTTGGTCTAGCAGAGAGAAAAAGGAACACTTGCGTTAAAATTGGTAAAAATACAGTTATGCCTGACGCTAGCAATCCACCTGTCTACATCTCAAAATATATTACAATATGTAGCTTTGAGATGTACATGGAACTCCACAGCAAGAACAAAGGTTTATGAATCTAAAATACCGCTGCCATGGACACAGCCTGGAGGATACAATGTCTTTCTTGGAATCTCTACATTTTTCATGATGCACATCACATCTATGCCATCAAACACAAAAGAATATTCTCAATAAATGATGAAGAGTAATAAAAAAATGAGTATTTATAAAGTTCACATATCCTGGACCCTAGAACTACATGTACATGTAGAAATTATAAATGTATAAGAACTTTAAGTAGCATGTTGAGGTACAGTAATGGCATATGTATATATCACTTTGAAGTTTATGGTGTGTACCTTCCTCAAACATACATCATTTTTAACAACATTCAAGACTATGGCTTTTATTTGCCACTGAAAACTTAGTTTTAAATACCGAGAAACTGGGTTAAAATTTCCTCACGGAAAGTTTTTCTTTATTTTAAGCCTCATTAGAAATTATTTTCTCCACTTTTGTAACAGTTTGAAGAGTGCCCTGGTAAGTAAACAATGACAGAAATGAATTTTCGTTTTCTTTTTGAAATTTTATTTAATGTATCCTTTTAGAAAACTCACTTTTCGTATGTACGTCCGACACCAATTTGACAATTTGTCATCTCCACAATACATGTTCATCCTTTGAGAAAAGAATGCCAAATTTACAATACAAAGTACAAAAAGTTCCCTCTTCCTAAACATCAGCACAACTCCCTAATTTTTTTTCGAAAGTCTTAAAAACTCTGGCGTAAGATGTGCACGTCCGGCACCCTAAGCGTCCGATACTGCCAAAAACAAGCACTGCTGCCAATACTTTGCTGGCAGTGCAATCCCTGTACAACCAATAGAAACCACTAATCACCTCATTTGCATACACGTAAATGAGAACCCACCCTTTTTTAACAGTTACCAAACAGGCTTCCTTTCTGTTTTACTGATTTGGATACATCTGACAACAGGGAAAAGCATTTCCAAATACAGTAGATCAGTTCAGTGATAAATTGTAATTTAATTGCGCATCATGCACATAAATGGTAAGCAGAGGAAAAAACATGAGTGGCCATTTGAAATGAACAGGGTCACAAATTTCAACATCATTTTCTCCCTGCTTCTGCACTTTTTTTACTTTTGTCTTTGGAAACCCTTCTGAAATCATCATGGTTACAACTTTCTTGTGTGAGAGGAATTTTTGGAAAATAAATTAAAAATGGAAACATTTTGTTTGTTCAAAGTGCATGAGATCAAAAGAAATCAGTATGGTTCCATTCTTTGTGAGGTGCCCAAATTGTTTGATATATTAGGCTATATCCAAAGTAAACTTCCAGAGCCATTCCAGTTGTCAGCATACATGAACATGTGCCCGTGCATTTGAAACTAAAGATAATTTCAATGTCATTCTACAGTCTCATGATGTGCACACAGGCAGCTTCATTTATCTTAACCATCGAGTTCAAACCAAACATTTCCTGAATTTTTGTTCTTAAGTATTATAACATGAGCAGCAGAGGATACTCTTTTTACATGAAAAGTAGAAAAGACTCTTCTTAATTCTTTTCTCTGTTCTGACCAGAAAACAACATTCTGCAAAAATACACAAAATGCCTGATATTTAGCAATTTATCTTTCTAAAAACACAATATTAATGCAAGCTTAGAAATGATGTATGACGCACACACATCTCACCAAGCCATCCAATGTAAGAGAACATTCGCGTGAATAATTAAACTACCAGTAACACAAACGACTAAAGAAGTGCACAGGACCAAGAAACTGGATCATCTATAGCCACTAGACACCACATGTAGATCCAGGTGCTGATCAGTGTGGTTTCCATAGCGCAGTTCAGGTACAGGATTATAGTGCTCAGTGTACCAAGCCTTTCTGATATTAAAGTAAATCCACATACTTACCAAGCCCGGTGAAATTAATTCTTAGTCCTCCACTGTACCATGGAACTTTACAATTTGTGCCTTGAGGCAGCACACCAGCAATGAGACTCAATGTACAGACAAACAAGTGGCATTCTCCCTCGGACAGTCAGGCAAACCACAACCTGTCATTCCGCACATTGAAAGTTGGGGAACTCAACTCTGAATATGCCTGACAACTGGACAACTTTGATTATCACAAAGATTATCACGCCATGTTGCTTTATTTTTGAAGCCCTGCTCTACACATTGACTGTAATCATGGAGACTACATTATATGAGAGAATAAACATCACCATGAATTCTCCAGAGGAGGACACTCCAGCTGAAAATCTAGAACAATCACCATTCGTAATTTTTCTCTGCGTCTTCATGATGCTTACCATTCTTCTGAGCTTTGTACTGAATCCACTGATGTTACTCACCTTACATCGAGTCACCAGCATTCAGCCAACAACCAAAATATGCATGGTTTCTCTTACCATGGCTGATCTTTCATCTTCAATTGTAAAGACCTTTGATTTACAGCAACTGTTTGCTAAAAGATGGCTGCTTGGAGAAATTCCTTGCCTAGTTCATGGTGTGACAAGCTATGTGTTAGACTTCATGTCTATATGCTCCATTTTACTTCTGACTCTAAATCGATATGTCACCATTCTATATCCTTTGAGGTATTCTACAGTTGTGACAGAATTAAGAGCTAAGATTTTGGCATGTGCAGTGTGGGTCATCAGTACAGCATGTGTTGTTTGTTTGTTTGGTGTTGTTAATCCTAACAGCACATTGCATGATGGACCATATCAGTTTTGCTGGTGGGGCCGACTGCCCTGGCTTGAATACCTCACTGCTGGCGTACTATTAATTATGATTGCTACCATATTCGTCCTTTATCTCCACATATCCTTGATAGCTCACAAACAAGCTCGACACATCACTGCTGACCAAGCAAGTAATGGCCAAGGTGGGCAGAGGATTAACACTAGATCCCTCACCACTATCATCATCATAACAGGCGTTCTTGTCATCACGTGGATGCCCACTGCAATTTTGTTTATAATACAGCCGAAACAAAATGCTTCAGAGCAAGCAAAATATACTGATTTCTTATTTATCAATTTGTCAATGATTCTGCATTTATCTAACAGCTGGCTCAATGTTGCCATTTACTACCTACGGAACAAGGATCTCCGTCAAGCATTACATGGTTTACTAGCAGAGTGGCGACAAAAACTGTTCCGAGAATCCTAGCAACATAAACATTCACTGAGCAACTACAACCGTGGAAGGAAAGTAAGGCATATACTGGTGCATGTACATGTACATGTATCTTCAATGCTTTTCTTTGAATTTCACGTACACTTCATTAAAAGTTTTGTCTGCGGTCTGCCAACTCATTTTTAAAATCAGCTTGACCTAACCTAAGCAGCATGAGGCTCTGTGAGGAAACTTAACTGATGTGGTCTGATCCCGGCCACATCAGATGTAGGCATTCATCAATGCAGTGAATGTGCTGGTCTTGTTTGACCCGGATCGGAATGATAAAGTCCATCAACAAATAGACTGTACCAACTCTTGTAAAAGCTAGACTTGAACTTTAAGATATGTCAAAATGGTCTTTCACAGTGACTGTTGTATGTCTATAGCCAATACATGTACATGTATCAGCTATTAGCTTATGATATTGTAATTGTCTTTCTTTTTAATCTTTCTAATGGTATTTAGTGTAAAGCGCTTTGTGATGTTGTTGACATGGAAAGCATTTTCAAATAATTCATATTATTATTGTTTATTATTATTATGTATATGTATGCATACATGTATGTAACCGGCCAAGACTTAAAACTATGTACATACACCAGTCACAGGATTTGGATGCAGCTTCATTCAATCAGATGCCGGTGTTGTGATGTACATGTTTTGCAAACATAGTTAAAGTGGAAAGTTTTCTTTGTGTGAACGTATTGTCAGCATAGTCATACATGTATGTCCATGCTTTTAAACCAAAGAAGACCTAAATCTAATTCTAGAGTCACACGGTTTGGTCACAAGCAGCCTTACTCTGAGGAGGGCACAACTACATGTTCAAGCTTGTATAGAGCAATTTGCCAATAGGGGGCAAGTGTGATTGATGACAACTAGTTAACTAGTGGTTGGTTCATGACGTACAGGTGTATCTACATCTATGTGCAGTGCAGCTGAAGTGTAAACGACCCTAGTCAACTGTTGTCAGGTCACTAGGCCAATTGAGAGAAAATACGGCAGCAGGAGGGGAAAAGTAGCAACAATAATAGAAAAAATGTTTTTCACTTGTGACATACTGTTTTTCAGGCATTTTTTTAACACTGGTCCCTTCTGCACTGTGCTATTAAAATGGTTTATGGCAACCAATGAGGCGACCAACCTCGACAGGCTGGTCACGAATAGTTGACTAGACTAGTCCAACCATCGTCAACAACATGTAGCGTGCATTCGATCAGAATTAGTCAAACTATGGTCCTTGATCGAACCTGCCCAAGAATAACATGTAGAAGCCATTACTAATGAGGATGACGCACCATGCTCATGGACAGGTGGAGCATGCACACTGTACATACATGTACATATGCTGAATGCCTCTTTGACCTCAAGTTAAGGGATGCACGTCAGTGTGATGCCGTGTTGCAATAATGGCTTCTCCTCATATTAGTCTCCAAGACAGAATTTAACTTTCAAGTGTTGGATTTAAATTCAACCTTTCTCTCCTTTCACTTAATTTTCATCTTTAGACAGTTGGTAACATGAACAGTAGATTAGGCCCTCTTTCATCATTTCTATTCTAAGGCTAGCAGAGAGAAAAAATAATGTTTGAGTTAAAATTGGTAAAAGAAGCAGTAAAGCCTGACGCTAGCAAGCCACCTGTCTACATCTCAAAATATATTAAAATATATGTATTCTAAAGGCTGTGAGACGTACAAGGAACTCCACAGTAAGAACAAAGGTTTATGAATTTAAAATACCGCTGCCATGGACACAGTCTGGAGGATACAATGTCTTTCTTGGAATCTCTACATTTTTCATGATGCAGATCACATCCATGCCATTAAACACAAAAGAATATTCTCAATAAATGATGAAGAATAATAATAACAAGAGTCATAATGTAAATAGTAGACTGATAGATGCTGAAAAAAAAGGTATCAGAAATTTGTGCAGCGTGTTCAGTAGGGCTGAGTCAATTCAAATAATTCACTATTCGAATATTCGACCTTCAATTCGATCGAATATCTGAATATTTGGTCATACTGACCGGCAAATTGTTGATGAACATACAAAATCAGGTGCAATAGCGCACACAATTGTACATTATAATCACTTTCATAGCTATGTGTAGTCATGTCTCAGAGTATCTCCAGCCATAATTTAGCAAGATTAAAGAGACTAAAAAAAAACTTTTTGTCCTATTAAAAATTTCTATTCCTTTTAAATTTTGTAATGAATAATTTACTTCTTGAATTGTTGAAAGATTTCTGTCGCTTTTCATTTGAATCTGCTTGAAAAAAGGCTCCACAGTACAATTTTTCTTATCTAAACAAAAGAAAATTCTGCCTTCCTTTTCATGAATTTGGCATTCGAATATTCAAATTCAGAAAATGATATTCCAATATTCAATAATCAATAGACTATTCAGCACAGCCCTAGTGTTCAGACACAGTAAGGGCATGTTATTACTTGGTCTGGAGTACATACGTTGCCTGTTTTCCCCCAAATTACGATAAGTCCATATACATGAACTCACTCAAATAGAATACATGTATAATTAATTCTCCCCTAGATTACAATAAACCAGCCTCAAACTACTGTACATGCACTACCTGCCGTTCTGACTATTTAACTCAACTGTAAGACTGCCTAGCAACCCTGAGGACTGTCCATCCTTCAAAGCATCACCACAAGTTTCTCAATCTTTGAGGTCATGTTTTACACACTACCGGTACTGTTACTACGGAGATTACCGTGCATCACATGGGAGAAAGAACACCACCATGAATTCCACAGAGGGTGATACATGTACCTCAGCTGAGGGTCAACAGTCACTATTCACCTTGTTTACAGTTTTCCTCTGCAATTTCATGACACAATTCTTTTTTTGCTTTGCTCTGGATCCTTTGATGTTATTCACTTTATGTAGAGTACTAACCAGCCTACGACTAAGATCATGCTTTCTCTTACCCTAGACGATGTTGCATTCACAGTTGTACGAACCTTTAACCCCAACTCCCTAGGGTGTGTGCAAAATCATTAAAATTGGAGGGATTCAGGAACGTTAGGGTTAATTCACCAGGAATATTTGTGCTAAAAGATGGTTGCTTGTAGTGTGATCCTTCTGCCATTAGCTCACTTTTGCAAAAAAATTCATGGTTGTGCAACGTTTTATTAAGTAAGTAAAATCTGAGATATCCCAAAGGATGCACAGGGATGATTGCTCACAACGTATGTGTAAACAATCCCTGAAGCCTTATCGTCTTTCCAATTCATCAATGCAGATCCATTCTTAACTTTAAGAAATACATGTATGTGAAGTTTTGGTTACCCTAGAATGCAAGATGGCAGCATCACTGAACTTTCACAATACAGGCCGATCACACTCCCCCACCCACATCCAACAGTGTGTAGCAAGCTCGAGATGCATCCTGCCGCCTCCTGCATCTCACTGTAGGTTGCCACGGTAACCTCCCGGCCATCATCAAATATGACTGCTCTGTTGTTAGCATGCTTTGTGGCTACTGCATCAACCAGTCCATGGAGAGTTTGATGTGATTTGTCTGTCATTGTGCAGTATCCACTCCAATTTCTTCGACAAAAAAAGAGAAGAAATTAAACACCTTCCCTAATCAATAAACTTCAAGATGTGTGTCCTGGTCCAACTTCAAAATTACCATACTTGGCATAAAACTGAATGATGACTTCCAAGTCCTAGACCTGTTGTAGACCTGCTCTGGGTTCAGAAAATTCATGTTTGTATGCACATGAACTGTGAGTGCAACAGTTTAGGATCAACAGTTCCCAATCAATTGATGGAATAAGAATTCCAGTCAAGCAGGTATAACAAACCTTTGTCAGGTTTATACACGCTGTAAAGTTATGATTTTACAAACAGGCCTCCTCCCAAAACTTTGGGGATTTTTTGGAACAGTTGATACCGCTCCCTATCTTGAACTGTCACACCCACCAATTGCCCACTGTAATATTACTTCACAAAGTTTCATTCAGCCACTGACCATATGATGACCCTGACATGCTCAAAAGTTATACATGTACCTTGGGGTGTGCAGGCCCGGCACCCCCAGAATTGTGGGACGGGGATCAATGTCCGCTGCGCTTGACGTCTGCCGCACCCCACAGTTATGAGGGTACAAGCCCGGTATGTTTGCTGTACAAACATGACAATTGACATGTACCGGTTTGGCATTTTAGGAGCCTGAGTACCCTCAGAACTGGGTGTTCATTATCATTAGCACCATGTTCCTGGTATAATAAGGAAAGAAAGTCTCCCTTTTCGAAACAACTACATGAATACCTAAATACGTTGGCAGCGATATCCTCTTCCATATCAGAGAAAAGAGGGAAGGGCTTTGGATTTTGAAGGGTATTATGGGGTAAAACAGCAGCGTAAATGATGCAACCAAGAGCTGTGAACGAAGACGAATCAGCACATGTAGTCTGGTTTCTTGAAATGGAACCATGAAAATGTCTTTTAACGAAATTCAGTACATACACAATGGCTAGGTCAGGTAACAAGATGTGAAACAAAATGGCGTGATGCGGTCGTCTTTTGCCAAACTCGGGAAAAAATTCTGGTTTTCTTGCTTAAATATTGTCAAAATTTATCTAAACTAGAGCTACTAATGAACGGATCCTCAAGGTCTGAATGTCAGTTAGTTTGAGGAAGTGAATTTCGTTTTCCTTATTATACATTGTAGGAATAGGGTGCTAATGGTAATGAATCCCTAGATCTGTGGGGTCCGACATCCGCCCTGCTCCCACATGGGAGAGGGATGGACGTCGGACCCCACACAGTCCTGGGGGTAGGGCCTGATCGAGTGAGATCATAATTAATAAAATGCATTCCTTTTAGTTTTATGCTACTTCTTATAAGTTATGTACCTGTCAAATTCTGCCACTTTGAGCACGCGTACGACGTAGATCTTACACTCAGTCACAAATTTTCAGACTAGGCGGCGCCTACCTACATGTACTGTCATGTCCAGCGTTTTTGTGCAGCGTTTATTGATGTTTATGGACTGATTGTTGCATTGTCACGTCAGTGCAGTGGCCAGTGGTATAGGTACACGCTTTGGCATGGCCGGTACTATAGGCCCTACGCTAAATTTGACGCCTGGGTTCATGACTAGACAGAGAAATGGCGGCGCGCAGTGCAAGAACGAGGAATATCAATCCGACTGAATCGTGCGCAAAATGCGCCAGTTGTGGCGAGTGTCAAAAGATCATGAAACGTTGTACTCGATGTAGACGCGCTATTTACTGGTTTGTACGCTTTTCGTTGCATTGAATTCTTTTTTGCACGTTAAACCCAAACGGTCTTTCTACGTTAGCGATTCGGAAGGCTGCCTTGGTATATCTGTCAGTGTCACGTCAAGTGTACTGTGCAGTGCATGCAGTGGTTGGGGAAGGAAGAGGGCGCTGTTCATACATGTACTTGTAAATTGCAAGATGCAGCTGCTGTGAACTTATTCAAGCCCATTGAAAACAGTGTAAAGTCAACAAATTCAGTTGTGTTCTATTCCTCCAGGCTCAAACAAATATTAAATTATTGGGAAAGAATTCCATATACGAAGTTCACTTTTTAGGCGACATTTATTTTTGGGGGATAGAGATGTGAAAGGGGGTTCAGTAACTTAGGGGGACAGGTTTAAAAAGAAGAGGCCCCACGCAATAAAACGGAAAAAAAGTGAGTCCTTTTGCTGTTTTTTTTCCCCTACTATATCCTCTACCGTTTCCCTTTTTCCTTCACTATCCCGTCCTTTTATTTCTCCACAGTTTTCCTGTCATTAGTACAAGGATTATTACAGTTAGTATACACATTTAATACATTTAATCCAAATTGTGTCGTAAAAGGAATCAAACCTGCAATGAATTAATAAATTGTTTCTGTCTAATGATAACAGAAAACGTTTCTGGACTTATGTAAGAAGTAGGAGGCAATCACCCACTCCTTTGTCTTTCAAACAAGGTGACAACATACTCACTGATTATGATGATATAGCCACTGCATTCAATAGTTTTTTCTGAACCTAGCAATGTACCTGATAACCCGCCATCTTGTGATTTTCTGATTGATGATCTTTCCACCATTCATTTTTCTACAGGTAGTATCCGTCGTATTATCTTATCCCTTCCACAGGGGAAGGCACCTGGGCCTGATGGGATTGGTGTGAGATTCTTGTCTAATACTGTAGACCCGA